ACATGAATATATTTTCTCATGTGTGGGATTTGGTAAAGTTCAGAACAGAAAAAATATAATTGAGGTTTCTTGGCTTGTTCTATTTTTGTATAATAAAATGTCAATCAAGAACAGTTTTGTGTGTGTTTTTGTGTGTGACCTGTGATGTGACCTGACCTGTGGCCTGTGACCTGTAACCTGACCTGTGACCTGCACTTTAGCCCCGCCGCGAACGAACACGGTCAATGTGAGGGGCAAAAACAGCATTAATATAAATGAACCATAGGATTTTAACTAATATAAGGGTCAATTATTGTGCATTGAGATGAATCGCTTGAAAAGAGAGACTTCGCCTGAAGATGTGATCAGAAGTAAACAAAGGCATAATAGTGCGTCACGTTCAGTCTTTTTAATATCCAAGGAGTCACTGTGAATAGTGTTTCCATATTGTTTAGAATTTGTTCAAACTTTGCCATAATTGAGGCAATTATGGCAGGTACAAACTCCCTTAAGCGATTTCTTAAAAAAAACTCCCGTACAGAGAAACACAAAGATAAATAAAAAACGTTATGTTGCCATGGCGACTGCGATTGAAATAAAACCCAAATCATAAGAAATTTTCATCTTTATATAATACAGTTGTGGACACTTTTTTTTCATATCTTTACTCATGGCAACGTAATTAATGCTCAAACATAGGAGGTATCCCCCCAAAAAATCCAGTCGATCCACCTTAATATTCTATTCGCAAAAAGAGATTATATTTTTTCCCGCGATATTATCAGTTGAATATTTTCCATAACCCATTATCGCATCGTTCAAAGATTTCGATCGATGATAGTTTATAATCGATGACTGGCACACCATTGCTGTTAATTGAACTGACTTGGTGCGGTAGAAAACAAATAAGTACCCACCTTTTTTTCGAAGTACGTATGTTTAGTTATTTTTATTTCCATTCCTAAGGCCCGGTTCAGACGCCGACCTTTTCATGAGCCGAACCTGATCCATTGAATTAAGTACATGAAAAGTTAGGCGTCTAAATCAGTTAGGAACGCCTGTTTCAGTTTGGAACGGCTCAGTCGTTCTTTCTGCCTGGCGCGGCCAGGAATTTCGCCTTTGGAGCGACTTTGGAAGGGCTTTAATTCAGACGCCGAACTTTTCATGTACCGAACCCAATGCATAAATTATTACAACGTATTTTGTAAGTAGTTTGACCGAAATGAGCATTTTTCTCCTTTTGAATTTAGTTCAGCTGGAATTAAGATCGGCGTCTGAATCAATTCAGCCGGTCTAAATAATTTGGGTCGGCCTTAATTCGAATTAGGTTCGGCTCATGAAAAGTTCGACGTCTGAACCGGGCCTAATAGTACTGGGTTTGATTTTCTGTCTTTGCCTCTATTTATCCCTCTGACCGAGCGCTCAGATCTTATAATAATTTATCCTAGTCCGTTTTTAATTACCCTTTTGGAATGCAATTGAGAGATATGGAAGAGTAAGAAGAAGAAGAAGAAGAAGAAGAAGAAGAAGAAGAAAACAGCTGCATGCTGTAAACATGATACTTTTGTTGTTAGGTTGTTACTATTGTAGACTCATTCTACTTCTCATACCAACACTATTGAATACTAGAAAAAGTAAAAACTAGAATATGATTCTCTTAATCTGGAAATGATAAAAGCTTTTACGCGTTTCTTTCCCCAGACTGTTCCCAGTCGTACCTTTCTCCTATAATCCGTCCAGTTCTTAATGAGAAAAAAAGAAGTCTACCCACAGTCTACTTATCTAAAGTCACAGCTTGAAGAGAATAATCTATTTGCGTCTAATAAGTTTCTTTAATTTTATTCTCCTGGCCAAAATTTATCTCAATACGTGGCTATCTATGGTTGGTCTACATTTCTCTAGGTTTTATATATAATTGTTACTGGGAAAGGAGATAATGAGGTGTGTTTAATCCTAAATTTTCACTTAGCAAACTGCCATTGGTTGAGTTTTGGTTACGTGAGCCTTGACGACTGGCCAGTTCCAGGCTCCAAGATTGTGGGCAGAACGGATCGCGAAGAACAGTGCGAAAAGCTGCTTGTGTCTACATTTTACGTCTTCAAGCATGGAATAAGTTAACTCGATGAACAAAAACGTTGCTTTAATGTTTCTTTTACCGCTTGCCTTACTTCTTTAATCTTCCAGCAATATAACAATGGATTTAGCGAAGAGTTTAAATACAATAAAGTAGCTGTAAACTCCCAAGCAAGGAAAAAAAAAAAGACGAAGGAATCCCTTTTTGAGGTGTGAGAGCTACCACTATAGAAAACGGCAGATAGCAAACAACCAATGTTACCTGTACCCACAATGCACTGGACACTGCCTTTCTGTATCGAGCTATGTACCCACCTTTTTTCGAAGTACGTATGTTTAGTTATTTTTATTTCCATTCCTAAGGCCCGGTTCAGACGCCGACCTTTTCATGAGCCGAACCTGATCCATTGAATTAAGTACATGAAAAGTTAGGCGTCTAAATCAGTTAGGAACGCCTGTTTCAGTTTGGAACGGCTCAGTCGTTCTTTCTGCCTGGCGCGGCCAGGAATTTCGCCTTTGGAGCGACTTTGGAAGGGCTTTAATTCAGACGCCGAACTTTTCATGTACCGAACCCAATGCATAAATTATTACAACGTATTTTGTAAGTAGTTTGACCGAAATGAGCATTTTTCTCCTTTTGAATTTAGTTCAGCTGGAATTAAGATCGGCGTCTGAATCAATTCAGCCGGTCTAAATAATTTGGGTCGGCCTTAATTCGAATTAGGTTCGGCTCATGAAAAGTTCGACGTCTGAACCGGGCCTAATAGTACTGGGTTTGATTTTCTGTCTTTGCCTCTATTTATCCCTCTGACCGAGCGCTCAGATCTTATAATAATTTATCCTAGTCCGTTTTTAATTACCCTTTTGGAATGCAATTGAGAGATATGGAAGAGTAAGAAGAAGAAGAAGAAGAAGAAGAAAACAGCTGCATGCTGTAAACATGATACTTTTGTTGTTAGGTTGTTACTATTGTAGACTCATTCTACTTCTAATACCAACACTATTGAATACTAGAAAAAGTAAAAACTAGAATATGATTCTCTTAATCTGGAAATGCTAAAACCTTTTACGCGTTTCTTTCCCCAGACTGTTCCCAGTCGTACCTTTCTCCTATAATACGTCCAGTTCTTAATGAGAAAAAAAGAAGTCTACCCACAGTCTACTTATCTAAAGTCACAGCTTGAAGAGAATAATCTATTTGCGTCTAATAAGTTTCTTTAATTTTATTCTCCTGGCCAAAATTTATCTCAATACGTGGCTATCTATGGTTGGTCTACATTTCTCTAGGTTTTATATATAATTGTTACTGGGAAAGGAGATAATGAGGTGTGTTTAATCCTAAATTTTCACTTAGCAAACTGCCATTGGTTGAGTTTTGGTTACGTGAGCCTTGACGACTGGCCAGTTCCAGGCTCCAAGACTGTGGGCAGAACGGATCGCGAAGAACAGTGCGAAAAGCTGCGTGTGTCTACATTTTACGTCTTCAAGCATGGAATAAGTTAACTCGATGAACAAAAACGTTGCTTTAATGTTTCTTTTACCGCTTGCCTTACTTCTTTAATCTTCCAGCAATATAACAATGGATTTAGCGAAGAGTTTAAATACAATAAAGTAGCTGTAAACTCCCAAGCAAGGAAAAAAAGACGAAGGAATCCCTTTTTGAGGTGTGAGAGCTACCACTATAGAAAACGGCAGATAGCAAACAACCAATGTTACCTGTACCCACAATGCACTGGACACTGCCTTTCTGTATCGAGCTATGTACCCACCTTTTTTTCGAAGTACGTATGTTTAGTTATTTTTATTTCCATTCCTAAGGCCCGGTTCAGACGCCGACCTTTTCATGAGCCGAACCTGATCCATTGAATTAAGTACATGAAAAGTTAGGCGTCTAAATCAGTTAGGAACGCCTGTTTCAGTTTGGAACGGCTCAGTCGTTCTTTCTGCCTGGCGCGGCCAGGAATTTCGCCTTTGGAGCGACTTTTGAAGGGCTTTAATTCAGACGCCGAACTTTTCATGTACCGAACCCAATGCATAAATTATTACAACGTATTTTGTAAGTAGTTTGACCGAAATGAGCATTTTTCTCCTTTTGAATTTAGTTCAGCTGGAATTAAGATCGGCGTCTGAATCAATTCAGCCGGTCTAAATAATTTGGGTCGGCCTTAATTCGAATTAGGTTCGGCTCATGAAAAGTTCGACGTCTGAACCGGGCCTAATAGTACTGGGTTTGATTTTCTGTCTTTGCCTCTATTTATCCCTCTGACCGAGCGCTCAGATCTTATAATAATTTATCCTAGTCCGTTTTTAATTACCCTTTTGGAATGCAATTGAGGGATATGGAAGAGTAAGAAGAAGAAGAAGAAGAAAACAGCTGCATGCTGTAAACATGATACTTTTGTTGTTAGGTTGTTACTATTGTAGACTCATTCTACTTCTCATACCAACACTATTGAATACTAGAAAAAGTAAAAACTAGAATATGATTCTCTTAATCTGGAAATGCTAAAACCTTTTACGCGTTTCTTTCCCCAGACTGTTCCCAGTCGTACCTTTCTCCTATAATCCGTCCAGTTCTTAATGAGAAAAAAAGAAGTCTACCCACAGTCTACTTATCTAAAGTCACAGCTTGAAGAGAATAATCTATTTGCGTCTAATAAGTTTCTTTAATTTTATTCTCCTGGCCAAAATTTATCTCAATACGTGGCTATCTATGGTTGGTCTACATTTCTCTAGGTTTTATATATAATTGTTACTGGGAAAGGAGATAATGAGGTGTGTTTAATCCTAAATTTTCACTTAGCAAACTGCCATTGGTTGAGTTTTGGTTACGTGAGCCTTGACGACTGGCCAGTTCCAGGCTCCAAGATTGTGGGCAGAACGGATCGCGAAGAACAGTGCGAAAAGCTGCGTGTGTCTACATTTTACGTCTTCAAGCATGGAATAAGTTAACTCGATGAACAAAAACGTTGCTTTAATGTTTCTTTTACCGCTTGCCTTACTTCTTTAATCTTCCAGCAATATAACAATGGATTTAGCGAAGAGTTTAAATACAATAAAGTAGCTGTAAACTCCCAAGCAAGGAAAAAAGACGAAGGAATCCCTTTTTGAGGTGTGAGAGCTACCACTATAGAAAACGGCAGATAGCAAACAACCAATGTTACCTGTACCCACAATACACTGGACACTGCCTTTCTGTATCGAGCTATGTTCAGGGGAATTGCTTTGCTCGGTTGTGCTTTAGGAACATGGTTAATGTGGTTATGACGCAAAGTGAAGAAAATTTTAGTGTAAGCGAAGATTGTAATCACTAGACACGCAGTTGTACCTATGTATTGATACCAAGAAACAATAAGACGATTCCAAAACAAAGTAGATGCCCCGAAAATGGACAAAATCCATAAACCAATTGCAGTTACACGTGTTCTTTTCAAAGTCACAACTTGTCTGTATCTAAGACCCAACAACAAGGCGAGAAGTCTGTCCACACTTATTGCCGTCAGTGTTAATAAAGACACTGAACACAAAGTATAACTTGAGAAATCTGACATCAAAACTGCGTAATAGCAAATATCCCCTCTTCCCTTCACAACAGAAATTTCATAAGTTACAGTCAATGGACCAGCGATGATACCAACAAAGAGATCAGTTAACGCTAGGCTACAAAACAGAACTTTGGACGGCGGCTGAAGTGAAGTCTCCTTGTGTAGGGCAACTAGAATCAAAGTGTTCCCCAGAAATGCGGTAACGGACAGAAGACTATTTACAACTGAAAGAAAGATAAACTCGCCATCTACTTCTCCAGTAAATTCATCGATATCCGAGCACTGGCTTAGTTGTCTGCTCTCGCTTTCATCTTTAGTGAAATTTGTCAGCGCCATTTCTCTTTGATGCGACGACCTGCAAGTGAGCACTTTTAACTCAAACAACAAGTCAGTCTGGAAGTGATATCATTTCATCTTTAATTCAAATAATCAGCCAGGTGTGCGTTAATCTCCTTCTTCTTGTTATGGTTATGAACTTCTGTTTAACAAAAACAGAAGAACCATAAGTTGTTGTCTCCACTGCATCTGTCAGACAGAAAACAGACGTTGTCATGGGTTCCAGCTTGACGTTTAACGTCATTACCTTAATTTCCCAGAAGATTCCAATTACCAAGCTAAATATTAGTCTGTAAGCTAAGGAGCTATCGTTGTTATGTTAAATCATAATATTTGTATATTTTATAGCTTAAATTGAGTTAAAAGCTAAGCTCCGGGTAAGATTACGGGGCAACTTTTGTCGGTGAGGTATAAAAACCTGTTAATAGAGATAGGTAAATCCTTAAAAACACAACCTGAACATAGATGCGTTCACGGTTTCTACATTTATTTTATTTCTATCTTTTTTTGCTTTGAAACTTGTTTAATTGCGAGCAATTAGTACCTTTTTTTTGAGCAAAGCCAGCTGTTTGAGTGGCTTAATCGTGTTTGTTAGCCCCAATTTTGAGTCACGTTCTCATAGGAATACTAAATTTAGTTCCCTCTTTGAAGGCAGAGAGTAGTAAAAGTCCATCAACACATGACAAATTGGAATTGGGAAGGTCTAAATTTTAGGCTCCATTTCATTTTCGTGAATAACATTTTACGAAAAAACTTAGCAAACTATAACTACATTTATTGTAATGTAGCTTAATAAGCTGCGTTAACCTTTTCCGTCTTTTTCATTGGGTTGTCGTTTTCTTTGTTCTTGTTGTTTTTTTGTCCGTATTCCAGAATTTGAGGCTACTAAAATAACCATACTCGTGATAAAAGCATAAACATCTCAAATGTTAACTTCAATATTTATTAATACGCCACCTACATTGCTAACATTAAAAACGCAATATTTTTTTGCAAATACCGTATTTATTCGATTAACCGCCCTGGGCGCTTATTAAATTTTTGGACCTTGAGAGTGGGCGTTTATTCGAGGTGGGCGCTTATTCGAGGCTGGGCGCTTATTAAATTCTCAACATTTTCAGCAAGTGTAGTATGTGTATTTTGCAACAAAACAATAAATGGTAATAACAAAACGCGAAGATGTAACAAAGCAGGGTTCCTGTAAAATACTTTGAAGAAAACTCCGTCTTCGGGGAAGTCTCTTATTAGTACTTATTCAATTTTAGGGGTGGTCGCTAATTTGAGTTTGAGTGGGAGTGGGAGGAAGGGGTGGTGGGGTGGGCGCTTATTCGAGGCTGGGCGCTTATTAACTTTTTCTGCCTTTAGGATGGGCGCTTATTCGAGGTGGGCGCTAATTCGAAGTTGGGCGCTTATTCGAATAAATACGGTAGCTAAAACAAACAACAGCACACAGTTTCATCTTTTATCAGTTTGTATGAGTAAGTTTCAGCGTCTGCATAATAAGATAGCCTGTTTATTAACATATATAATGAGGAACCACCAATCCATTCCCCCCTTCGGAGCAAAATAATGTCCATCAATTTCACTTTTCAGGTCAAAATATCATAGCTAACAGTGAAAGATGAAAATGCAAATTCAGAAAACTTTGTCTAAAAATTATTATTTCATATCCATGAGTTTTGTTAACGTCATGCCACTTCAGCGTAACATTAACTCCTGATACAACAAAATATAACTGCACATTATGTTTCTCTGTCAACTAAACTAAATTAATTGATGCAGAGGAAAAAAAATATTTTCCCCTCTTTCTTTTGAAGTAAGTATCTTTATTTACATTGTTTTGTTTTCTGCATATTTTCTTTAATGCATCCCTCTACTGGTAGCCGAAATTCGAAATATATGGATTCGTATGGGGAAAAAGCGAATGTTTTCTTTTAAGTATATTAAGTGTATAATTAAGTGTACTGTGTGCCCGTGTCCGATCCGACTTAAGGCCATTGTACTAAGTTGGTCAATAAATCAATCATCTCGGCTGACAAAAATTTATCTTAAATTTATCTCTCTAGTGTTGTATATAATTGTCAATGGGAAAAGAGACATATATTTACAGATTGAACATCAGATAAAACAATGCAAATTTCGGCCCTGTCCACACGTATCTGGATATTTTTGAATCCGCAACTTTTTCTTTCGGATTCAAAAATTTCGACTTCCACACGTATCCGGATTCAAATCAAATCTGCCCGTCCACACGTATCTGACACGTACATCCACATTCACTCTAGTACCCAGGACTCCTCTGGGAATATTGGCAACAGAGCATGCGTGGTAAAGAGAGCGAAATTGCATCTTGCAATTTGTATCGACGGGTAAGAGAGGGAACCTGGGAACGAGATCGCCTTCTTGAATACAGTATTCACGGTAAAGTGCTCGATCTTGTTACGTCACTGGATAAAAAATATCCGGATTTAGCGTCCGTACGATTCCAAATTCATAGCCTATTTAAAACTTTCCACTCTGGAGAGTAGATTTTAAAAAGTTTCGAATTCCTATGCCGGACTCACCGGATACGTGTGGACGGAAGACCGATCCGGAAAGAAAAAGTTTTGGACTAAAAAAGTCAGGTGACTAGTGCCTTGCCGTCAGGTTTGTGGTTTGAGGTTAACGTTTGTACGGCTAAATCAGGCTCTAGAGGTAAGCGATTTACCTTAAGGTTTTTGCACTCTAAAACATCACAATCCCACGATTAAGAGAAAATACTCCTTTTAGAACTTTTTAGACGACGAATGAATAAAAACAAACACAGCAGCTGCGAGCTACCACCCGCGAATCTTAATTCCTAAATAAGGGCAGTAACATTGGTCCCTCTCTTGCCACTAAAATTCCCCACTCCACTGTTGACCACAAATCATATTTGAGTGGTTCTTTTAGTGATAGTTTCTTTCCTTCACCTACTACCCCTGATGAAATTATCAATATAGTGTCCTCTCTAAAGAGTAGTAACAGTGAGGGAGAGGACGGTATTAATGTTAATGTCATTAAAGCATCTATTGATCTCTTAGCATCTCACCTCTCTCAAATGTGCATCCTCTTAGATAAATTAAACTTCTATGGTATTCGAGGCACACCTCTTAACTGGATGCATAGCTATCTCCTCTCTCGCTCTCAATATGTTCAAATTGATTCCTGAAAATCTCCACTGCTTCCAATTAAATGTGGTGTTCCTCAGGGTTCTGTGTTAGGGCCATTTTTATTTCTTATGTACATTAATGACATTTTTTCATGCTCTAATTATCTCTCATTCATCCTTTTTGCAGACGACACTAATATTTTCTTTCAACACAAAAATATTTCTGAACTAACTAAAATTGTGAACCATGAACTTTCTTTTGTGGCTACCTGGTTCAAAGCTAACAAGCTAACTTTGCATCCCGACAAGACTAAATTTATTTTGTTTCACCCTGCAATAAAGAAAATAAATCTTGACAGTCTTTCTATTAACATTGATAAGAATAGTACTAATAGAGTAGAACACACAAAATTCTTAGATGTTATCATCCATCAAAACCTCTCATGGCAGGCTCATATAAAAGCCATTTCTTCCAAAATTGCCAAATCCACTGGGATTATTATCAAATCACGACAGTTTTTCCTTTCTAATACTCTTTGCACATTATACAACTCTTTAATACTCCCATATCTTCAATACTGTTCTATTATTTGGGCATCCACATACTCTTCTCATTTACAAACCCTTTTTCCGTCTCCAGAAGAAAGCTTTAAGAATCATTACTCATTCTCCACCAAGTGCACATACTTACTTGCTCTTTAACAAATTCAAAATACTCAACATATTTAATATTTATAAGTACCAAGTTTCTTGCTTTGTTTTCCTTCACATGCAGAAGCTCTTGCCCTCTCCTCTTTCATCTCTTTTCGTTCTTAACTCTGATTGTCATCAATATCTCACCAGGCAAAAAGACAACTTACATCTTCATATTCACACAAATATTCCTTTTCTCTTCGGGTACAGGGTCCTCAAATTTGGAATGACATTCCTCTCTCACTTCGTAATTCACTTACTCTTTCTAGTTATAAACATAAACTGAGATATTATTTTCAATCATTATAAGTTTAAACCAAGTTGAACTCAATTTTTATTTTCTACCGTCAAACTCTTTTCTTTATTACTTTTTGCACACTGTTGTTAATTGTCATGTTTATTTTGCTTTATATGCAGTAATAATTCTTTATATGTTGTAATAGTTTGCCTTTTCTCTGTAAATCTTGTACTTATTAATTTTATTCTCATTGTAACTTAGCAGCACATTGTAACTCTCTGACCTACGCCATATAAGCCTCTGGCTTTGGCATCTTATTATCGTTAACTTGTGTTTTGTGTACTTATTTATCAATAAAAATAAATAAATAAATAAACAAAAAAGGGCAGACAGATAACATGAAACCGCTAACTGCAAACCGCGGATTGCCTTTTGCGCTGAGATGGCCAAACCTCGATCTTAAGGTCTCTAATATCCGGATACGTGTGGACAGGCGTTAATCTTTAGTTCACCTTGACGCGCATTTCGAGAAACGTGAAAAACGAAATGTTTCGTTTAGCTCTGTAGGCCGACTTTACGTGGGTGCGATTTTTGCGATCATTGTTTTTCTTTCATTTGTTGTCAGTACTGAGGTGCGCAATAAACATCGTGCCAATCATCCCCTTGTTGTAAAAACGCTGTAAAACGATTCCAAGAAAATTACAAAATTTTTATGACAATCACGCCTTTACGCTGAAAACTGAAAGGCTGTACGCTTGTTTGTTTGTTTTTGTCCTTTAGCAATATCTCTTAAGATAAAAAATCCACGCTCAAAAGAAATTGTTGAAACGTTGTAACCGTTTCTAAACATTACATCATAACCAAGAGAGGATAAAGGGGACGGAAAAGGCATCCCCCATGCACACCCTATTCCATAGGTAATTCGTCTCGAGTTATTTTTAGAATCGGGATAAAGTTACCTCGCGCGCTGCGTGGATGTTTCGGGGAGGTTTCGCATGACTAAACGCCGTGCAAAACATGTCGGGCGAAAGGCAATGAAAGCGTAAAGAGATCGAGAGCATTCCTGAAGATTGAAGCGAAATGAGTCGGCACTCACTAAGGAAAAGAGAATCGCTGGACTCTTTGACAACCCGTGAAATCAGTTTAACTCGAAGTTGCCGTAACCTCAGTGCCTTAATAAAATGAGAAATTTCGCCGGTGTATTGAAACCGGTCGGTTGAACAATAAAATAAGTAGGACGCCAAGTGTTATTGTTGTTGTATAATAAAAGACTAATAAAAGAATAGATATCAAACCAGAAATTGCTCTCTTCAAACCGTAAATTATAAATGATCCTGAGAGAATACTCAGTGTGTTCAGGATTTCCCTGCTGTACTGTTAGCTCTATACAAGAGAGGAAGGGCGAGTCTTTTTTAATTTCCGTTTCGCTGACACAGCTTTAGCATACATCTCTCTGTGGTCGTTTTCTTTGACAAAACGAATAGCAATATCGCTTTCCGCGTCTTCCGCCATTTTGTTCTGAGTCAATTCGTGAAGGACACGTGCCTCTGAGCGTGGGTCATCCACCCGGAACACATTCGCGCTAAGTGATTGGCTGTTGTCTAATCCCCCTTGAGATCTGTGGTGTTAAAAATAACTCGAGACGAATTACCCATGGAATAGGGTGTGTATGGGGGATGCCTTCTCTGTCCCCCTTATCCTCTCTTGATCATATCGTGTTAAGGACATACACGTCTCTGCGCTTCCGACAGAAGCTCGATCTACGCTTTTCAAACCTACAATCTTGGACAAAAGTCCTTGGGACAGTGACAGCATAACTGCAATTCTATGTTTATCACAAGTAATGTCGTAAAAAGCAGTGCTGTCATTTTACAAATCCATATTCCCTCCTCTTCCAATACAATACAATGTTGCAAGATCAAAGGAATTGTGCCTTGACGGTTTCATCACTGTCCTTGGGGTGGGGGTAGGGGGTAGGGACGTGCAGTGTTAGTAGCGCGCAGATACAATTTCCTGTCTATCAAAAAGCGTTCGAACTGTAAAACTGTCCCAACACTTTTTTCCATGATTGCAGACTGCGTAGCAGGGGTTGAAAGGGGTATGGGAAATAGCGAGGGATTAAGAAAAACCCTTTAACCATTTTTTTTTCTAATTTTTTTGGGCAATTTTTAGTGAAAGTAAGTTAGTTTTTATTTAGCATGGAACTGCAGAGGAAGACAGCCTTGTATTGCCAATTCAACCCGGTAAGCTCAAGATTCGCCTTAATGTTTCTTTTACAGTTTGCCTTACTTCTCTGATCTTCCAACAGTACAGCAACGGGTTTAATGACGAGTTGAAATACACTACACCAATCGTAAATTGCCAGCAAGGTAAGTACTAGATAACGACGTCTCCCTTTCAGGCGTTAAAGCTACTACTATACCATAAAGCAGATGACAAACAACCAATGTTACCTGTACCCACAATGCACTGTTCACTGCCTTTCTGTATCGAGCTATGTTCAGTGGAATTACTTGGCTCGTCGATTGTGCTTGAACAACATGGTTCTGAACATGAATTTGATTATGACGCAAAGTGAAGAAAATTTTAGTTTAGACGAACATTGTGATCACTAAACAAAAAAGTGTTGCTTCGTATTGATACCATGAAATAATAAGCCGACGATTCCAAAACAAAGTAGATGCAACGAAAATGGAAAAAATCCATAAACAAATTGTTATTAAACAATATTAAACATGTTACAACTTGTCTGTATCTGAGACCCAGCAACAAGGCGAGAAGCAGGGGCACCCAACGTCAATTTTTGGAAAATATCTGTTCGGAAGACGATTTGAGATCTAGAATTTTCGGAACATTTGTTGTAAAGTTTCTTGCTTGCCTGCCTCTCCTAGGATTTTCGAACATCTAAAAAATGGCATAATTGCCCATTTTTAACGGATTTTTGTCGTAAAAGGGTCACCTAGAATTTTCGGGGCCTTTTTTCTAGCAGAAATTTTCAAAAAGGTAAGTTTTGATCCCTATTAGTTCGGATCACTAGACTTTCAGCTAGTAAATGCGAACAGATAAAAAATTTTTAGGGGATAAAAATATGCCTGTATCTATTGTTTAAATACTAAAATACGTTTAACAACACTACGTTTATGTGCACGGTTTTGAACTATATTCTCGTTGGGTGCCCCTGGAGAAGTCTGTCCACGCTTATTACAGTCAGTGTAAAAAAAGACACTGCACACAAAGTATAACCTAAGAATCCTCCCAACAAATCTGCGTAATAGCAAATATCCCATATTTCGTTCATAACAGATATCCAGTACGTGACAGCCAAAGGCTCCACAATAAGCCCAACAGAGAGTTCAGTTATCGCTAGGTTACGATACAGGAGTTTGGACGGCAGGTGAAGTAAACTCTCCTTGTGAAGGGCAACTAGGATCAAAGTGTTCCCCAAAAATGCAGTAATCGAAGGCATAAAGTTTACCACTGAAAGAAAGACAATTTCCCTTCATGCTGTTCCAGTAAATTCTGCAGAGCATTGCATGCGCAGGTCTAGGAGGTTAAGCGAGTCTTCCTTTTTAGTAACATTTGTAAGCGCCATTTTTCATTTGCTGTAAGATGCTATCGGCGCCACAGCTTGACGTAAAACGTTATTGATCATCATCACCATCATCATTGGTCAGCTGCAGAGCAGGCGACTACGAGCTTCCTCCAGCCACAACGATCCTGTGCCAATTCAGACAGCTTCTCGGGCCAATCATGTTGTCTGTGTCTCCCAAAAGGTGTTGAATGTATCTGAGAAACAAGGTTCATTGCCTTCCTGGTTTTCGCTTCCCATGTGGTGGAATATACAGTGCGTACTCCTTGCATGGCTCATCATCAGACGTTATTGATAAGTAGCTATAAGTAATTTGGCAAAAAAACTTCAATTAAATAATAAGCTTTTAATTGAACTTTCGATCCTCAGCTATCGTTCTGCTGAGAGGAAATTAGTTATGTTGAATATTTTATGGTTTGATTTTAATTTCAAGTGTTTCCCTCCGCGTTGATAAATAACGGCACTAAATTTTACTGTTTCGTTGTAAGAGAAGTATTAACAATCCAAACAATGTCAGACAGTGATAGAATTATGCAGAGAATGGTACTTCTCAGTTTTGGTCTTTGAAGGCCCACAGATAACGGGGTTAGTCCCTGGGCGATACCAAATGAGGCCGGAACGAGAAAAGTTCAGGACTATTTGTTTGTTTGTTTTGTTAAGTGAAGATGAACTATGATGAACCTGGTGAAATTAAATACTAGCTGACAAACTCACACCTTTTATCCTTGCGGCGCCTAGCCAGCTTGACGTACAATGTCATCAACGTTGTTAATAAAACTCATGAGCTTCAGCTGTCGTTCTGCTGAGAATTAAGTACGTTATGATTAAATATTAGATATATAATTATATATATTAGAATCCTAGAGTTATTAGAAAGGAAGACGTTAATTGAAACAAAAATATCGCACATTAAAATGCTTAAAATGGCACTATTTGACTGTCTGTTGAAAAATGTTGCAGTGCTGACGGAGGACGGGGCATTTGCCCTCTTTTTTTGTCCCCATCCCAGGGGATTTGACAGCTCAAGAGTCCCCACCCTCGGGAATTTGCCATCCAAGGCACAAAAAAATGCTAATGCCTGGGATCAGCCGGGGGAGGGAGGGGGGAGGGCTGGGTGCAGCTGGAATTGACTGATGTATAACTGTAACTACTACTGCTTAACAGTATTATTGGTGCTACTACAACTTGACCTGTGGGCTGCTAAAAGAGGCAAGTTAAAACACCATCATGAAATTTACCTCATCTCAACTAAAAGAATTACAACCCCCCATAAAACTAAAGAAATAAATAGTAATAAAAATAAAAACGTTTATTGTTCATACAGCTTTTATTAGAGGTTTTTATCGCAAGGATCTACATAAACAAAGTAACTTTTGGTTTTTACAAAGTGTTATTATAAGCATAGTTAGTAGAGGGGACTACTAACTAAGTTAAAAGGGCTTCGCTTTAATCACAACATTTCAGCTTATTCGTGATGTCACATTTCACTTTACCCGCGACATTTAAATACTTCCTCAACATTTTAGTTTACTGATGACATTTTGATTTCCCGGCGACATTTTACCTTACCCTTGACTCTCCCTCGATTTCACTTTTCTATGGACATTTAAGTTTACCCTTGATACCTCACTTGCGACATTTTTTGGGGGTTTATAAAAACGAACAAAAGGCAATTTTCAAGGCTAATTTAACTTTTTTTCAGGAGAAACACAGTGAAGATTCTTTGGTGCTTTATTATTTTGCCTTTCATGTTTGTGTTATTTTCTCACATTTTGTGACATTTTAGTCGATGACTTTTAAAAACTTGTAATTGACAATGACAATGACGACAGCATTCTTGTGTTTTTGCAATAATCTACTTTAAAAATACAGTACTGTTGATCTAAACAAATTAAAGGTACATTTTCAGGACACAGGGATGCTCTCACACAATCAACTTGATCATCGAAGTGAACATTAGTTGAAGTATCAATTTCTGAGAATATGGGAAATTGTTTTTGTCCTTAAGAGCTCTACAGCAGACTCAATATTGAACTTGCCCGTAGCTACTAATACTGCTACCGGTACAACTTGATCCATGGCAGTTGCTATAGAAACATGCTGAGATACTTGCTGATTAATTACACTGTCAACAACATCAGACCTGTATATTGACTGTAAAACAGCAAGATGAGATCTTTCTTGACTAACCCTGGCAAACTTTGAAACTATGGATACTGCTCGATGGAACAACTTGTTGTTGCTGACTTTGAGATCAATCATGAAACTTCCCAGAACTTTGCCTTTTACTATATGTGCTCCAGTCGAGACAGCATTAAGAATCCACTTGATGGACATCTCCATAAGACACTGGTTCAAAATACTGTCAAATACTGGTAAATGACCATCAAACAGTTGTTCTTGTCTTGATGGTTGTTTAAGTTCAATAAGACATTTGTTCCTGAAAACATTACTTAACTCTTTTTCCTTCTCACAAACAATGCCAATCACATGTGCTCCTTTCTTCTCTGTCAGATTTACCAACTTCCTCACTTGCTGAATGACTTTACCTTCAGAACAAATAAATGTTACCGTGTCATGCAATGTCAAGTTGGGCAAAAAACTTTCTTGAAAATCTTTCAGAGAAATCTGAAGCCTTGTTAATCCATTTAGTAGATACTCTCCTTCCTTGTTCTTAAGAGTATGATAACCTCCTTCCAGAAATCCTCTGATGTCATCAAAATGGGCACTGAATGTAGGAACACATTCAGAGGCATCTAAGAGGCCCATGAACCCAGATGATCCCCATCCAGTATAGTACACTTGGCCCTTACATTGTAGGCTCTTTGCAGCCAGCTCTACAGCTTTCGATATACTAGAATGATTAAGGTATGTGGCTCGATACATGTGCTCATACATCAAAAGAAACTGACGAAGTGTATCAATACAGCCTGGCATTAATGATGACTTCCCCACTGCAATATGTCCTTTAAGCAGTATGCTCTCCAGGAGAATTTTTGTAGCACTTCCACCTTTCATACGAGATGAACCAGTAATGGCTTCTGGTCCAACAACTGGGTTGAGGATGATTCCACTTTCACAATCTGTATCAGGAAATTTTCAAATTAAATGATGAGCGTTGTCTTTATCAATAGATAAAGAAGAAAAATATTCTTTAAAGATGGAATATTATATTTTTCCTTTTTGGGGGGTCAGGTCCACAAACTCTACATGCGTACACTGAAGTGCTTAAGCTTTCCTCCCCTTTTAGCAGATCAAGACATGGCCAATATTTCTGTGAGTTACTACCCCTAAAGACAAACCAAAGTGGCTATTTGAAGATCAAATCAGTTGTCTACAACAGGTGAGATTATATTGGGTGTTAGCTAAGCTTTCATTAGAAAAAGGGTCCATTGCTGCAGTGGCACAAAATAGAAAATATACAGTATTCATTGAAATTGTGTTTCTGCACTATCATAATCCAGAGACTTGAGGGTAGGAGGGGGCTGCCTTGCCTGATTGGTCCGGAAGAGTAGACTTACTCCCACCTTAGCTTGGTGTGGTTTTCAGGTTTTGTCATAACTTTTTGCCTTCAAATGGGTATCTAAATCTTCAAAGCTATTTAACTCTTGTCTTTTGCCTCTAAATTTTGGGATCTCTTCAACTGATTTTTCCGGCAAAGGGGGGTGGGGGAGTTGGGAAGAAGAGGATAAAAACTTTTAATACCTTTTAGGCATCCAGATATATTAAGTTAATATTCAATGATTGGGTAGAGAGAGCAGGAACCTTCTCTTGTTTGCCTGCACCGAAGACACTCTAAAGCTTTTGTATAGAGCATCTGTGAATTAGTTCACAATATTGGGTTCAATTCCTGCAGAGTCGCAAGAACCTATGTCAGCATATTTGATTGGCTAGTTTCCTTTGCAGTTTGTGATTAGTCTGATTTGAAAATAAGTGTTCACATGCCAAACACAAATCATAGCTTGTGACAAAAGAGAGAGTGAGCTCCAGATAGTGTGAAATGTGACCTTAGAGTCAACTTAAACAACAGAGGTTTTTCTTACTTCTGCTCTTCAGCATAGATTATGCAGTGCATGGAGTATTCTAAACTTTGACCGAGCAAATCTTAGTTTTACAGCTCTAAGTGAGCACATCTAAGCTAAGCTAAGCTAAGCAGTTCGTTCCTGTGGTTTATGTTTAGCTGTTTTTTGAAAGGATTTGATCACAGAGGCAGTTTACCATTTACTAGTAAATGGTTTTCTTTTACCTCTGTTAAAGCCTTAAGCTTTTAATCACAGCCAAATAACCTTAGTTTCTTGGGTTTTCTCCAATAGCCTGGATCTGAATAGCTACATGTGTGTGTGTTTTTTTGTCCGCCCAAGAATATCATGATTTCCTGATTTGTTTCGATGAACACTAGTCAGTGTCGGCAAGATTGCAGAATACGTGGCAGTGCATCTGTAGCAATAAGAAGACGATGGAAATTAAACCAGTTGGCAAACACAAAAACACATTCTGGCCTTGAGCAATATTATTCTCTCAAAGCATTTTTTTTTGTCGTTGTTCAGGAAGAAGGCTTTCAAGTTCGAACTGCTCTTTCATTGTTTACTTTAAAAGGCTTTTTAATGCTCTTTGCCAACTTCCATCTGTTGATATGTCTAACCTGCACCCGACCGTCATGAACATGTAAGGATTGGGCCAATTGTGAGTTGTGTAAGAAACCCGTGAGAAACTCGCCTATCAGAAATGTTCACATGAGAAATGCTCACCAGAATGAGCTTTTGTGCACTACAGGTGTAATTCGCAGACAGACTATTCTAATGGTCCAGAGCATGCATGGCTGCAATGTAGGCTATCTCTTGTCAGTTTAAAATTATTAGTCTTTTGGAAACAATCCAAGAGCCTGGATAGCCTAAATAGGCTGATAAAAATGGCATGCCTACCATGCTCTCCTTACCTTGCAAAGCACAAGCAACATCATAGAATGACTTGCTCCATCCCTCTATTACATTCCTTCTTGCTTGGCTCACAGGGTTGAATCCCAGAAGAACTGGGATAAAAACATCAGGGTGATTCATGCAGTAATCCAATTGACCAGCCACATAAGGTGCTGACAGACCACATGTTATGCCAATATACAGTACCCTGGTCTTGTTACTGGACACCCGTGCTAAATCTTCCTGGCCTTTCCTCCAATCATCTTCAGGTGCTTCCTGAGACATGAACAGAGCAATATCACCTCCAGCTATAAGATATTCATAACTCGCTGATAGTCCCTGTTCTTTTGCAAGCTTGGAGAATTTCTGAGCTAAAAAAAAAGCGATTCTCCCCGATGTACCACACCCGCTCAACACAACAGCACCGCTTTGCTGCAATACTTCTGCAGCCTTCTCCACTACTTTTTCCATCACAAAAATGGTTTCCTCGTCATAAATACTCTGAAAGTGTTTCCAGCCCGAAAATATCTGCGAATCGCACTGGCGCAGAATTCGGACAATATCACCTGCAGAACCAACATCGATATCCCGGGTCAGTTCATTGGGTCGTTCCGTTATCGGCACGGTGTTTTCCTCTTCGTATCCTTTGGAATCCATTGAGCTCTATCTAGATGTTTGGGTTTTACCGAAGGAAAAGATCCAAATAATGGCTTCAAATAATAATTCTTAGCCACTATATGAAGACAACGTTAGACCGCATCATTGCAACTGAGACTTGCTCCGCTCTCAGTGAAAGTATTGGGTAACTTTACTTCCTAGAATCATCCAGGCATTCGTTGCAACATCCTACATTATACAGGGGAGGGGTAGGAGTAGAACTATTTAGAAATTAGATTTCACTGAGTTTAAGCACTTAGGCGTAAGTGAAAGCATAAGATGGCTTAATAAATGAATGGATTCCATTTCTTTAGTACATAGATTTGTTTCATATTTCCTTAAAAAAAAAAAGGATATTTAAAAGTGCTTCTCATGTCTCAGCCCTCCCCGACCGGGTATGAAATCAACCCATAGTGCATTACGGTGCGGCTTTCTCTGCGGCCATCTTTGATCTCGTAGCCGGCTTGTAGAGTGAGTTGAGAGTTTTTATCGAAAGATGGCAGCTCGGAGGATTGGTCAGTTTGTTCCAGATTGGATTAAGATTGCGACTAAAGTTCCCAACGAAGCAAAACCGAATATGAATTCTCTTAGGATGCAGTATGAGACTATTAAGACAAGGTGAGGGAATAATACCGTCATGAATCGAAGTACATGCATTTCGTGTAGATACTGATATAATACATGCATTCTAATTCAGTGTAATGTGCATCTGTTTAGCAATTCTCATGCGTATGTTGGTTTTTACGTTATGTTTTCTAAATCCTGTGTTCAGTTGCTTTATTTTCGCGTTAATGCTACTGCATAATTGCTGATCTGAGATGTTTTTAATATTAAACTGTTCTTCACTGATATTGTTATTGATCTCGGTTGTTCAAACGTTGGATAGCGCTCTCCATCGGATAAATCACTGTCCAGTGGATAAGTACTAGGGAAATCAATTGCAATATCCATTGGATGGAGATAAATCAAGTGGATAGCATAATTCACCTTTCGAACAGCATACTGAGGTATGAGTTCCCTGAAAGGAACTACATGTAGCTGTCTTATTTTGAGGGAGAAGGATAAAGTGACCCATATGTGTCATGGTACGGTGGCAAATCTTACAGCAAAACAACAAGAAATCAAGGCAAAACTACGTCAGTTCATGATAAAAACAACAGAACTAAAAAAAAGAAAAAATGAAAAAAATGGCACTGTGGAAGAAGGATGTTTTGTGGTTTGTTTGGGTGAAAAACAGCAGATGAAGTGGCTACCACTTTTGCCATTATTTTTATAAAATTTGGTTGTTTTGTGGTGAGTTTGTATTGTGTTTCTGTGTGGTGACATTGCAGTGTGATATATTTTCCTCATTACATTATTTTTGCTGTTTTATTATATTTTAGTGTGTTCATAGGACATTGTCTTAGTTAAATGGGCTAGGATGTGCTTTTTAAGATGGTTTTACTATACTTACAAATGATCACAGTATTGACTGAAAGTAAGCACATTGTACAGCTGTGCATGTATATTAAGCTGTAAAGCAGAGGAAAAGTAGAGAAAAGCCTAAAGGATGCACAGATGGGTAACCATGAGGAAGATTTAAACAGATTGCATTTGGATTAACTCATTAAGTGTCTTTTTTCAAGTTTGCCTTAATTTGTATGCATGTGTGGCTTGAAATGCTCAGGAGTCATCAACTTTGTTTTTATTATGTGGTGATGATTTTGTCAGTAAATGATGCTTCTTTCATCAATTTGTTGGCTAAATCTCCCAGTTTAATCAGCCCAAAACACTGAAAATGCTAACCTACCATGTGGGTCCTTACCTTTTTTTTGCACCCTTGTCTCATATTTATTAATCAAGATTGGAACCACTATTATTATTGTGTACATTATTTGCTGTTATGAGAAGATCCATTAACGCAAGGGCCTGTTTGCACAGTGCAAAATTTTGTTTGTTTCACAAAAATATATGTCAACAGGAAGGCATTTCTAGTGCATACAATGTTTTCACCTTTCCAAAATTTTCTTAACTGTCACCAAACCTCAAAGATGCCATGGAGTCTATTTGGAGACCTACAATTTTTTGTCAGGCAACAAAATCCTTTGTTCCTTGACAGTTATCCTTCATCAGGTCATCTAGTTGTGTAAATAAGACCAACTAAAGTTTCTTTAATTGAAGTTCCTGGTTAAATGATAATAATAATAAATTGCATGTCTTAGATGCATAGAAGGTTGCCAAGAATGAAAAATTGGTGAAGATTAAATTTGCAGATTTTTTTGCAAATGCCAAACTCTATTTTTCATCAGAGTGCAAAGAGGGCCTAAAGTAGCAAAAATGGACAATTTTCTTAGACCATAGTTCTCATCCAATCAACATACAAGAAATAACTCATTTATTGTAAGAAGCTGTCAGTTTTGTTTGTTGTTGTACTTTGTAGCTTGGATGCAGTTGCAGCCAAACCAGAACCAATTAACTGGGATTATTATGCAAAGAACATTGCCAAACCAGGGATGGTAGAAGCTTTTAGGAAAGCTGTAAGTTGTCTTTATTTTTTTTTGTTTATTGTGAATCTAGTAGCAGCAATACAACTGGGTACTTCCAGAGTACCATAATTGTTGTTGAGTTAATTATACATGTATGCAGAACTGTCTTTATTCATTTGTATATAAATTCAAGTTGTGTTTATGAGGAGTAAAATTTTATTGAAACAATGGAGTGCTTTTCAACTTTGAGGCAAAACTTTTGCTGAGCAACCCTTTGTTAATGTCACAAACTTGATGAGGGTTACACGTAAGTCTTAATTTATACACCTGACAGTGGCTGAATGTTTTGATCAGTATTCTGTTAACTATTTTCATGGTTTGTACATTCTTGAAAAGGTCTTGAATTTTACCAGTTGTCTTAAAAAGTCGTTGAATTCGGTATAGGTTCTTGAAAAGTACTTGATTTCTTTATCAGGTCTTGAAAAGTCCTTAAAATTCACAACATTGTCTATGCCTTACAACTTTTTTCTGTAAAATTCAGGCCATCTGATAGAGTGCGATAAAAAATCAGAAATTGTGCGATATTTTCAGGGTAGTTTGTGTGATAAGATAGGACTATTATGCGATAAATTATGTGATTTTTTCAGGGCTAATTTACATTGTTTTACCAGGTTTCAACGGAGAAAAACCACTTAAATGTTCTTTAACGGGCAATTTGAATGTAAAGGAATAATAAAACATCTATTTTAAAACAAAATAGTTAAATTTGTCTGATTATTTTGCACGGAAAAGAAAAAGGTCACTTGCTTAATATTACATGACGCCCTTACACCGCTGACCACACTGCTTGTCTCTGAAACGAAAATGGCTGCCCAGATACCGCGATCGAAGGTTTTAGATGTCTTGCAAGGCTTTGTTTAGTGGTAAATCACTTTTAATTAAATAACATTAAGACTGGGAAAATGTTTCATTTAAGTTAGAATTCATTGTTTACCTTACTTGAATTTAGCATTTTTTACGAATTATGTGATTTTCCTCAAATTGTGCGATCGAATGCGATTTGACGTCAATTGTGCGACATCGCACCATCGCGTAATATCAGATGGCCTGAAAGTTAGATTATTTTGCTGAGGCAAATTTGTCTCATCCTCAGTGTAAGAACCTGTAAAACTCACGGGTAATGTGAAACATTTTTGTGCATGAACAATATTTTATTAATTCTGTTTCTTTATTTCAAATGCTATTTCTCTGCTTGCAAGTCATACAGTGTACCTAGTCATTTTGCAAAGTCTTGTGGCGGAAACTAGTATAAAATGACGTGATCAACAATAGCCGAAAAAGGAAAAATTGTATAAATGACTCCATGACGTGTTTTAGCTAATAGGGTGATCAAAGGTGGTTAAAGAATGTATGTAGCCTGCATAACTGGCGCTTTATGAGCCACACAAGGCGAACATGGCATTTTGTGAGAGACGAGCGCGAATCGCAAGGTGAGGGGTGGAGAAAAAATTAAGTGCCTGTCATCAGTCCATTGTTCTGGCTCTTCTGCCCCACCAAAATTTGGTTCTATATGTATCGGAGAAATTTTAGTAATAATGTGACCATATGCATGCCCGTCCGAACCACAGGCAGAGGTAAAGGTAGAAAGTAACAAAAAAAACCATGAAAATTGGTGGTGAGAAAATGAGAAATAATACATGTAGCAGCCAGCAAGGTGAAAATGAGTGGCAGTGAAAAGAAAAAGCGAGCAAATACCACTTTTCCTATACAAGATGTGTAACGACATGTAGGAAGTTTCACGTTGTACATGTAGTTGTGCAAAACAACATCAAAGGAATGTACAAAAAAAGTGTGCTGCATGTGCAAAGTTTTTTCTTTTGCTAATTAGACCTACTGATTTTTTGCTGTTCTCGTTGCTGTCGCCATTTAGCATTAAACGATTGTATCTTTTTGTCTGATTGAATTATGAGTATATTAATGAGAGCTTTGCTTTTATCCTGGCTAAATCTATTTAGACAACTTTGACATCTAACTTGTGCATAGTGAAGAGTTCTTTCAAACCATGCCTAAATGCACCCAAAGTCAAGTAACTTTCAAATATTTTAAATAAGTAAATAGAACTCATCGCAATACATGTAAGTATTATTGAGAGTTGCTACATGTAAACATACAATGTAGTATCTATTGTTTGCCTCAGTATGTCTTATCAGTTGAATAATATGCTTTTGCTGCAGTATGAGGCAATAACTGTGCCTTACCCAAAGGACAAGGAAACACCAGACATTGACCAGAAAGAGAAGGAATTGGTAAGATTGTGAAACAAAAATTCTACCTACAATATGTAATAATTTTGTAGAATGAATATATAAACTAATTAATACATTAATTTATTACTGCTACATGTAAGTACATGTAATTATGATTGGAGTAGGGGAAACTGGAATTTAGTAGTTTCTGATCTCTATGAAAGTACTAGTGATCAACCCAGTGGATTTGTATTTGGAAAACTGCAGCTGTAAACACAGGTAGCCCAAGCTCGAAATATGAGCATCGGCGAGCATCGGCATTGTTGCGTAACATTCAGAATATAAGGATTTGTATGGGAAAAAAATCTATCGTTTCTGTAACCTACGGAAATGAAAGGATTTCAATAAAAAACAGCTTACCTTACTTAAAATGTGTGTTACATCTCTCCTGTGTGGTCCACGGGCCGATTTACGGCCGTTTTATGGGTTTTTATGTAAACGGTTTTCTTTCTATATAAAGGTTAGAAAGAAGACCGTTTACATAAAAACCCATAAAACGGCCATAAATAGGTCCCTGGACAACGCAGGAGAGACGTAACACACATTTTAAGTAAGGTAAGCTGTTTTTCATTGAAATCCTTTCATTATCGTAGGTTACAGAAACGATAGGTTTTTTTCCCATACAAATCCTTATATTTTGAATGTTACGCAACAATGCCGATGCTGGCCGATGCTCATATTTTGAGCTTGGGCTACCTGTGCTGTAATTGCACTATCCATTGTATAGAAATTTTATCCAATGAATAATGCATCCTATTTGCTTTTGGAGCAACTGGGGCCAGATCCTGTTGATTCTTTATGCAAGCCTGGAGTGGACGTTAGTGCTCCAGATAGTCCATTATTGGGCTGCTCATGAGGGCATTGGCCAGTTAAGAAATAAGAAGCAACTTCTTTCTATGTTAAGAAAAGACAAAATGGCAGATGGAACTCCCAGAAGGCTTTGCATGTCCCACTCCCCTTTCAGTGGGGCCAATTTTTACAGGGAGGGGACGGGTCATTTCAGGTTCTCCTTTGGAATGATCAACACAAAACTATTGAGCCAATGAACCTCCACTATATGGAAGTCTTGTTTTCTTAAACCTTGCTGTGGTTATTACCAGTGCATGTCAGAGAAGAAACAAATTGGCAAATTATTGTTCTCTTTCATAGCTTGGTAGCACTGTACTCAATACGTGACACACTGTGACATGAATTTCATGTACAGTATTAAAGGATAGTAAGTCTGGTTTATTAAGAAAATCGTACAAAGATATAGATATTAATAAAAAAAAAGAATTAATTTAAACTAATTAAATAGTGTTTGAAATGGACTGGGCCTTACAGTTATGAGAAGATATAATACAATAAATTAGATAAAAAAAATAGAAACTAGAAATATACATCAAGTTATACATTAAATTCCCATAAGTTCCTAAATTACATGCCATGAGCATAAAGGCACATTACCGGAAAAAAGCTTTGTTTATTAAAGCAATCAGTTTTGTAAGGGATGGTCTGTCTTTGTTGCGGAGGGAGCGGCCGTGCGCCTGCGACCGAGTCGGTGGAAAAAGATGGCGAAGATAGGACTTGGGCTCTTTTATCTTTGTGAATAATTTGCTACACAACTCCATTCTTCTTGTGTGAAGTGATACGCACCTGGTTGTAGCTAAGGCCTCTTGGTAAATGGATTAGTCTTATAAGCTTTAAGCTCATAAGCTTTGACGTCCTAAACAGTAGCTATGAATTGAAGGCACCAAACATAAAAGTGTTCTTTTTTCACGTACAGGAGGAGCATGCTGTCAAGACAGTCAAGCTTGCTAATGAAGAGATTGCTAGATATGAAGCTGAGGTATGAAAGTGAAGGAGAAAAATAATGTCACAGCAAATTAAAGCCTTGGCAGTATTATTTAATTTTTATTGTTTAGGTTTTAGCTTGAGTTCATCGTAACTGTCACAGTCTGCCAAGGTGCCGCAAATGTAATATATGTGAAAGGTATTTTCACATGGTGTCCCATTGGCCTTATTGATGTTCTGAAAACTAAAAAACTGTGAAACAGTGGCCATAATAGGCCTTTTGCATGAGTTGATGACATGATCAACTTTCGGTAGAAATGAAAACAGTTCGCTTTTGAAAAATATTGTTAGCACAAGCTGAAAGAGCATATTAAAATTAGGCAACCTGTCAATTTTCAGCCATATATCTCAAAAGTAGCAATTGCAACGGCCGCCGAAAATTAGAAGGATTTGTATGAGAAAAACAACTTTTGCCACCCAGTCTAGCTTGAATGGTTTTCCACACAAATCCTTGTAAATTTCGAAATTTTCAAACTGTCGTGAAATATTTCCTTAAGCATTACGGACCTCAAATCTCCTTTTAATTCATAACAGACAATTTTAGCCCTAAAATGCGTAAGAGAAATATTTAACGACAGTTTAAAAACTTCAGAATTTACAAGGACCTGTATGGAAAACCACTCAAGCATGACTGGGTGGCAAGAGTTTTTTTCTTATACAAATCCTTCTAATTTTCGGCAGCCATTGCAATCACTACTTTTGAGATATATGGCTAAGAATTGTCAGGTTTCCTAATTTTAATATGCTCTTTCAGCTCGTGCTAACAAAATTTTTCAAAAGCGCATTGTTTTCGTTTTTACTGAAAGTTGATCACGTACTCAACTAATGCAAAAGGCAGGAGGGCCATTATGAAAACTACTGGGTGACCAGTAATCAATGTCTTTACCCTCGTTAAATAAAGTTATTACTTACTTACTTACTTACTTAAAAGGCCTATTAATGGTGTTAACCTGTGAACAGGCTCTCTGTTTGGAGAAAAACATAGCGAGGAAAGGGAAGGGAAAGGGGGAACTGCTGTTCGCAGGCTAGAAGCGGAGAGGCCTTTTCAGTTTTCCCTCTCCCCAGTTCCCCGCTTGACCAAAGGCCTGTTCACGGGCTACAATGGTGTTGGAATCCATCTCTTTTCTTAAGTGAACACTTTCCTTTATTCTGGTAAACTAAACAAATCTGAAGACCACATGAATGAAGAAGTATCATGTGTTACTACCTCAAAAAGAAGTCTTAACTGCACAATCTATTTACTGACCAATAAATAACTGATAGCAACTGCTACCATTTGATTGATTACAATCAATACTTGGTGACCAGTCAATGGTTACAGTTTTAATCTGTGGGTTTAAATGCGAATTGGTTAACAATGCAAACAATATTAACTTAATTAGTTCCAACTGTTAGACATAATAATTATTCAATAGTCTTTCTTCAATGCGTTATTAAAGGCAAGCATATACTGTAGCTAATAGTTAATCAAACGCAAGGACAGCAATGATTTATCAGTGCTGTTCGTCTTAATTTTGGGAAGCACTCTCTTTAATGTTGAATTTTTCAAACGTCCCTATTCTAGGACCAGGCTCTTTGACGGGGGAAAAAGGCGAATAATGGGATGAAACGGGGAAACAGGGCAAAAAATTATCCTATCGGGGGTGGGGGGTTGGGCAGTAGAGCGGTAAAGGGCAGTGCCTCTGTCCCTTCCTCTCTTCAGTCCCCTTCTATTCACCTCTTTCTTCGTGCTCTCCGTAATACTGGTTATTCGACCACTTTGCCTACCGAGGAGCTGGTCGTAGACAAAAACAACCCTTACTCGGGCGTCTGGAGGCTTCTAAAATGCCCTCAGTCGTAAAGCCAACAAAAAGTTAACCACTTTCGAACAAAAGACATGTTACCCTAGAAAAAATAGAAATACTTTGAGAGTAAGTTCCTGAAGTGATCTTGTTTTGAATTTTCAGCTACAGAAAATCAAGTCTATGAAACCATTTGAAGAAATGACGGTAAGCTTGTACGCGGCTTAAAATTTCAGCAAAACCGAGATCCTCCGACTATTTTATTTACCCAAACCAGGTTCATGTCAGTGTCTAGCCTAAAGTTCGTAAAATTTTAATAGCTGAATTTTTAACACGTTTATCAAAAGTTATTTCAGTCATGTAAAATAATTCGGGGTTACATGCAATGATAGGCCCTTTGCAGAACTTTGTCATGTTTTTGGATGTCACTTCGCAACGGTTCGCTCGTTGACAAGCCATCAACGCATTCATTCAGATCACAATGCTGTGAATGCGATCGATTGAAGCATTCCTAGTAAATTTTCCTGTTGAAGATTTGTCGAAATCAGACTGCACTAGAAAACATACGAGACGGTTGAATTAAGGGACGGACCATTAGAAAAGTTATTGGGGGAATTTTCGAGCCCCAGGAATTTTTTTTCGTCATCAAATTCCTTGTAAGAATTTTTTTAGGCCATAGCATGAGTATTTCTTAGGGTTAATTGGCGTGCATGAATTTTTTTTCGTTTAATTATCCCTTGTGCGAATATGTTTTTCGTACTTCGCCCGGGCCCCCTTCCCCTCATAAGTTTTCTAATGCTCCGTTCCTAACCTACCGGAAAGCCTCGCTGATTTTATCTGTATTAAAGTTTGGCGAAAGATTTGAAGTCGTGACTTTAGTGGAACAAATCCATTATGGGCTCGTTTTGCAAAAGTCCCGGTAACTTTTAGGATCCGAAGGCAAATTTTAAAATCAAAACCTAAGGAAATACAGTAGCATCGGTCCTAGCCTGCAATGCAGGCGTATTTTGGGTGGGCGAAACCTTGTTCGTGTTCGTAATATTGTTGTAGCCGCCATCTTTGATTTTATGACAGTGGAAGATTGGGGAGAGTAGAAATTGACTCGCCCCATCTCCTCCTCTCTTCGGGAAGTTTCAACATGGCGCTTTCGCGAGCAAATTGCGCGCTCAAAGAAAACGCCTGCACTGGAGGTTACATCGGTCCTAGCTCACAAAACAGTCCAATTTGTTTCTTTAACTGATAGTTTTGTTGCATGACCTTCAAAAAGTTTAATACTCTGGTCATTGATATAAATAAACATGCAAGCAGAGAACTGCTTTTCGGGCCTTTCGAGAAAGGGGTTTGAATACAAAACTTCGGTATTTTTTGGTGACCGGCCATTTCGCCAACGCGTCGTTTCGCCAACTTCCCGTTCGGTAATGTCTCTAGTCGTTTCGCTCACGAAACAAAACATCCAGACGAGCGCTACACATGTATATACCTCGCTCTTTCGTAAAAGTCCAATACATTGTGTATAACTTGTTCCTTAAGACCCAGCACGGCGAAGCCTTTTTCCCTTTTGTAAACGGTCTTTGCCATTTTTAACGGTCGATGCTAGGATTGGTAATCGAGCCTTTAATCACAATAAATGTAGTATATCGCAAAAAGGCAAATAATACGTTTTTGAATAGTCTTAGAAAGAAGGACGTTGAATCCCAAGTTGAATGTACATTAAAAGTTATGGAAAGGGCTAGAGTCACCTGTTATTGATGTAACAGTTAAGAAAGACACTTTGCTAGTGTATGTACTTAAATTTTCCCAAATTTTGGCGGGTCGGTATGGTAGTTTAGTGATGAGAGACAGAGATTAGGATACGAAAGGTCCGGGTTCGAACGCTGGGTTGGGATTTTCTTTCTTTTTAATAGAAACAATCTCAAAATCAGGTCAAAATTTTTCTAAGTGTCTTAGAAATGGCAGCGACCTTTTACGAAAGGGACAACTGCCACGGCGAAACGACTTAATAGGTTGGCGAAACGAAACGACTGTAAATCCTGTTTTACAAGTACTAGCTGTGCGGTGTTAACCACTTAGCCACGCTGTTTGCTTGCCTGTTTACTATAAGTTTGTTTGAGAGACTAAAGTAATTACAATAGGTTCCGGAATTATATATTTTTCATTTTTAATTTCAAGGTGGATGATTATCTTGCGCTGCATCCGGAAATCAGGAAGCAAGCAGAGGCGGAAATCGCAAGGAATGACTGGAGTCATTAGCGAGCGCAGGGTGTGAACATGTTCTCAAACATCGTTTAAATCAGTTGATGACTAATTCATTGTATTCACTCTAACTATTGTATTTTTATTATGGATTGCAATAAATTCAGCTCTCTGGAATGTGTAAGGCTGGGCAATTTACGACTCGCTTATTATATTATAAGAACAGTGATAGCGAATACATGATATTAAGAAAAAAAAGAAACGGGAATTACAAATTTGTGGTTTGCTAGTTGTGTCAAAGGAAGCCTTAAAACGTGGTTGGCTTATAAGGGGAATAGTTTTCTGTAGATGATAAGTCTGTAAGCCGAGGGGGGTCTGAATCGGCTCCGGTGGCCTAGCCTGCGTGCAGACGATAACTAAACTCTGATTAGTACCGTCTGCGAAGCAGTGCAGAGATCCTTGTTCTGGACCCCCAACGGACTCAACGAATTACCGGAAGTGCGTTTCGAATTCCCCTTCAACCTGATTGGCGATCACGACAAACAAAACAAAGGCCTTTTTTAACTGGCCAATCGTGGCGCGTACTCAAATCTGGGTACACAGCTGGAAGTCCAGAACAAGGATTTCGGCGCTGTTTCGCAGACGGAGTTAACCAGAGTTTAATTTCGTCCGCGCGCAGGCTACTGTGGCCAGGCCGTCTCTGCATTCCTCATCCCCAGATGTCTTTCCCCCTGATAAACTCCTACCAAGATATCTTGTTGACGAAGCCGAATGTCGAAGGCTTCGTCGACAAGAGATCTGGATACAAGATTATCCTCTTGTGTATTAAGAGCGTTATCGCAAAGTACAGCGGGACGTACCCTGACGCAGGTGTAAATACATTCCCGTTTTTTCGCTCGCCATTTTTTTGGCCCGCTTCCTACCATCCGAGTTCCTAAAACTGGCTAATGAGGAAGACGGCCTTCATCTGGCCGCGTTTTTTTTTCTCCCGTTTCGTTTATTGGTGTACGTCCGCCGTCACCTAGTCTCCAACAAAGAGCGGCTGCGAAGGAGACTAGCTGTCACCTTGATGGTCTTGCTTATCGCAAAATCGCTCATCTTGTGGATGTTTTGAGCGTCTGTTTAACTTTACTGTATTGGTTCCACTGGCTAAATATCCCTTCAAGTTACACAACACTTGAACAGCTGAGCTGCTTAGCAAGATTGCCGCTGAAGATCTAAACTTCGGTTGCCAGTATTTCGAACTCAATCAGCTTGTTCACGACTGGTCTTTCTTGAGATTGCTGCATTATCGACCCTTGTAACTGCCTGAGCTTCAATAGCACTTCTGTAGTACTGTCATAGAATTACAGTGAAGGTTTCAACTCTTTCACGCCTGTAGATCGACAGATGTAGATTACTCCACATGATAGCCCTGTGTGACTCCTTTTTAAGCTTTCTTCTGTAAAGAACAAAAATTTCCAAGAAAATATCAAACTTAGATTCCAGTCTACTTCAAATTAAAATGGAATTTACATTCAACGGAACTTCTATGTGCGATCACACGTCATAAGTGACCAACTCCTGTCAACTACCAATCTTCCAAACTTCATACAGAATAGGTTTTTGACCTTTTTAGTCAATTTGCTATAGCTGGAGTCTATCGTAAGTGACTATCTTAAAGTTGGAATTTCGTTCGAATGCTTTTCAAGGTAACTCCGGTGAGTGTACACTCTTCAACTCCATTTTTAACAGCTAAAAGTTATCGCCTCGCTTTTTATAGATGTCTTTGATGCGGGTGGTCGCTTATGGGAAGTTCGACCACACTTCTACTGTATTATTTATTGCACTCTCTATCTGTCTACTCATTGGCTAAGAGACAACAATTAACTCTAGAAATCAGCCCACCCTACTGCAGTATAAGCTCCACAGGTTGCGCGCGCAATGTATGATTTCCAAAAGCAACTTTTTTTTCCTACTTTTTTAAAATAATAAACTGTGTTCCTTGCGAGAGAGTGTGATTATGTCGATAAGCATTATCGGCCGCGGCTGATGACACTTCCGTCGGGCATTGATTACTCCGAATAAAAATCATCAACAGTGAACCCGCTGAAGAGGGAGAGCACACGGAAAAATAAATTAGCCCTCATTTGGCAGAGAATCAGTGAGGGCTCGAATGATACACGCAGAAATGACAAAGGTAGTTGTCAATTATTGTTTACAAATTTACAGTTGTTTTTCCGGGTGTGCGTGTGGAGGTCTATTCCTTGGGATAGGGACTGTTGACATACCCTTGGCTAGCAATCAGGTAAGAAAAAAACCTCTTGCCCCCCAGGGTACTGTCACGTGATCGAAAGATGGTAATACAGTCGACTAGCGGTAACTCAAACCAAAATCGATTTCTCCTGGATGTAAATTTTGTTTCACTTCAAATCATTTCTACATAATTTTACCCTCGATACCAGATGAGTGTACTGCAGTCCGAAACAGTGATAGCAACCGTGCTATTCACCAGCAGAAGTCACTTGTCACCGGTTATTTGCTACGAAATCCCGATAACTCGAACTTTTTTTCGATATCCCTCAAAGGATTGAGTTATCGGGAGTCGACTTTACACCCTCAACCATCGTATACCTTGCCTGAAGGCCACTTGTTCTTCCACAGTGTTTTACATCTTTGTAAAATTTCTTGGAATTTACTATTTATAACCTCACACCAAAGTGCTATTCTCTTTCGTATACTTCTGTGAATCGTACGGAATTTTTGCACGAGACTAGAGCAATCAAGACATTTCCCACAAGTCCATGCGACTCTTGTCACGTGATTTTCCTTATCTGTTTGTTTCGGTAAATCAGCGGCTTTCACCGGCGGCTCACTTTGGTTCTGAGCTCTAACCAAAGCAAAGGAGCTAAAGTAAAAACAAAAACGAAAAACATTAGCTTCGTGGAGGCAGGGGTATAAGCACTGCTTTCGTGAAGTAGGTATAATGACTGAACAAAGGAAAACTTGTATCAAACCTGAAACGGGAATAACTTAGACCAAAACTTTAAAAGGGACGGAGCTAATTTTAAACGCCATCTTGAGCCAAGCCTCTGTTGACCTCATCTTACGCTGATTTTATAAGATACTCGTGGAAAAAAAAAAAAAAAAAAGGAAGATAAAATTTTGATGTCGGGTTTGCGTGAAAGAGTATTCTTGCAAAGCAAACAGTTGTGTTAGTAGGAAAAAGTCTTACCAAAACGTTTTACCCGTCTTCCTCCACCAAGCCTTGAAAACAAGACACGTGACTACTGTAAAGAGCAAGACATTGATCAGAGTGGTCGGTGCTACGCGTCTGTGTCCCTCTCTTAAGTCTTGGATGAGTGGATGAAGAAAGCCCCACGTTACCTCCGGCGCGAAGTTTCGCTAACAAAAGCAGAATAAATACGGCTTACATGAATTTAGTACCCTAGCCTTTACGAAATAAAAGCTGTTTTTATTGTCTTGAATACGGCAGGTTAAAGTTGGTTTTGCTCATTTTAGCCCTTCGAGAGCAAAGAAATGAAAGAAAAAAAGGTAAAAAGAATGTCACTGTTGCATTTTAAAACAATCACAGCATGCATAGTTCTCTGTATGACGGTATTTCGTACTTGCCATTGTCTGTAGGGATATTGAAATAACATCAACACTACAAGGCAAAAAAAACCTCACCCTGTAAACTCTGTATTTTTCCAGGAGAGCTTCCAGTTCTGATAACGAACTGTTACTGACGACAAATGGCAAATATTCCTTGACAAACTCGCGCCTCCACCAAGCTTTCCCAGTGCTGCTGATAATAAAAGCAGTTAAAGAAATTATAGTTAATTTCTATAATCATCGGGTTATACTTAAACAACTTTGCTGCTTTTGATCGAACGAAGATTCCCTAATTTTCACCTTCACTCGTCTCGAGTCAACAATACCCCCCCACAAAAAGAACAATAGGGCCATTTATACGAGGAAAAATAAGACGCGTCTTAAATAAGACGCGAACTTTCCGTATAAACGGCACATTTCGTCTAAAATAAGACGCGGCTTAGCTAAGACGCGTCTTAGCTAAGACGCGTCTTATTAGATAAGACATGCTCGTATAAATGGTACAGTTCGCGTCTTATTTAAGACGCGTCTTATTTTTCCTCTTATAAATGGCCCTAATCTCTTTTTTTTCAATTTTCAATTTAGTTACTTTTAAGTTTCCATTGCTCACATCTACGGTAGCAAAACACAAAAACAAAAAAATTGTTGTCATTTACGTAACAATGACAACTACAACAACAACTACAACAAACAAAGCCAAAGACTGATAAACAAAGAGCACACTCTTTACCAAAAGTATCTATCAAGCAAGACACAAAACAAACCCACAAAATATAGTGAGCACTCTTTAGCAACTTAACACTTAAGTGAACACTTTAAAGAGCGCGCTTGTCATCAACGGTGACAATTTAACACTGCTGAAATTTCAAACCAGTCAAAATATTCCTAACACCGAAAAAAACAGAACGCGTAGACCACTAACGTAGTCTTCAAACCAGAACAACATGATGCGTCTATGCCAAGCGCCTATGCGAGCAGTGGCCTAAACGCAAAAATCCAACCAGAAAACAAAGAGCGAGCTTGCCACTACAGTAACAATCCAACCAGATACAAAGAGCGAGCTTGCTACTAGAGTAAAAAGCAAACCAGAAAACAAAGAGTGATCTTGCCACTACAGTAACAAGCAAACCAGAAAACAAAGAGGGTCTTGCCCAAAAGTAACCAACAACCAAACAGAAAACAAAGAGCGCAATTACCGCAGAGGTAACGATCGAAAAAAATTGCTCTTATCGTTAGCGTAATAGTCAATACAGAAAGAAAAGACTGCGCTTACAACTGCCGTAGCAATATATATAAAACAAAAAAAACAACAACAACCATAAGCGCGCTCTTAGTTTTGATTGTTTACGCCTGTAACAAGCGCGCTCTTAGTTTTGATTCTTATGCCAGTGATAAGCGCAGTCTTAGTTTTCATTGTTATGCTAGTCATAAGAACGCTGTTAGCTTCAGACTGTTATGCCAGTGATAATCGCGCTCTCAGTTTTAATTGTTATGCCAGTGAAAAGGGCGTTCTTAGTTTTGATTGTTATGCCAGTGATAAGAGCGCTCTTAGGTTTAATTTTTACGCCAGTGACAAGCGGGCCCTTAGTTTTGATTGTTATGCCAGTGATAAGCACGATCTTAGTTTTAATTGTTACGCCCGTGATAAGCACCCTATTAGATTTGATTGTTATGCCAACGATAACCTCGCTGATTGCTACGCGTGTGATAAACACGCTCTTGGTTTTGATTGTTATACCAGTGATAAGCGCGCTCTTAGCTTTGATTGTTATGCCAGTAATAAGTGCGTTCTTAAGGTGAGGTTACATGAGACGATTCGTAACGACGATTTTTAGCGCAACACAGCGTTGCAACATTGTTGCGACGTTGTTTCGAATGGTCTCAAAAATGTTCCAACGTTGCAGCGCCGTGTTGTGCTAAAAATCGTCCTTGCGAATTGCCTCGTGTAACAACACCTTTAGTTTTGATTGTTATGCCAGCGAAAAGCGCGCTCGTAGTTTTGATTGTTATGCAAGTGATAAGCACGCTCTTAGTTTTGATCGTTACGCCAGTGACAAGCGCCCTCTTAGCTTTGATTGTTAAGCCAGTGATAGGCGCGCTCTTAGTTTTGATTGTTACGGCAGTGATAAGCACGATCTTCGTTTTGATTGTTATGCAAGCGATAAGCGCGCCCTTAGTTTTGATTGTTACGCCAGTGAAAAGCACGCTCTTAGCTTTGATTGTTACGCCAGTGACAAGCAGGCACTTAGTTTTGCTTGTTTTGGAAGTAAAAAGCCCGCTCTCAGTTTTGATTGTTACGCCGGTGATAAGCGCGCTCTTAGTTTTGATTGTTACCCCGGTGATATCCACGCTCTTAGTTTTAATTCTTACGCCCGTGATAAGGACGCTGTTAGCTTTGATTGTTACACCAGTGACAAGCGGGCACTTAGTTTTGATTGTTATGCCAGTCATAAGCGCGATCTCAGTTTTAATTGTTACGCCAGTGAGAAGCGCGCTCTTAGTTTTGATTGTTACGCGCCAGATAAGCAGGCTCTTACTTTTAATTGTTACGCCAGTGATAAGCACGCTCTTAGTTTTGATTGGTACGCGAGTGATGAGCGCGCTCTTAGTTTTAGAAATAACGCGAGTGATAAGGGCGCTCTTAGTTTTGATTGTTATGCCAGATTGTTAAGTGCGTTCAAGCGCAAACTTAGTTTTGATTCTTACGCCAGTAATACGCGCGCTCTTAGTTTTGATTGTTAGGCGCAAGATAAGCAGGCTCTTAGTTTTAATTGTTACGCCAGTGATAAAGGCGATATTAGTTTTCATTGTTAACAAAATTCCAGTGATTGGCGCTCAACTGCCCTGATTGTTAATTGCCAGTTTGATAAGACGCGCTCTTAGTTTGATTGTTGCCTAAGCCAGTGATAACGCACGCTCTTAGTTTTGATTTAAAAAAATGTTATTTTTTTTTGTTAATTAAGCAAAACAAAATTTAATTTTGTTTTGATTGTTAAAATAGCCAGTGATAAGCACAAATTTTTTTTGTTATGATTAACTTTTTTGATTGTTCCGCCGGTGATAAGCGCGCTCTTAGTTTTGATTGTTACGCCGGTGATAAGTGCCCTCTTAGTTTTCATTGTTACGCAGGTGATCAACGCGATCTTAGTTTTAATTGTTACGCGCGAGATATGAAGGCTCTTAGTTTTAATTGTTACGCCAGTGATAAGCGCCCTCTTAGTTTTGATTGTTATGCCGGTGATAAGCACGCTCTTAGTTTTGATTGTTATGCCAGTGATAAGCACGCTGTTAGTTTTTATTGTTATGGCTGTGATAAGTGCGCTCTTAGTTTTGATTGTTACGCCGGTGATAAGAACGCTCTTAGTTTTGATTGTCATGTCAGTGATAAGTACGCTCTTAGTTTTGATTGTTATGCCAGTGATAAGTTTTGATTGCTACTTAGTTTTAAGCATTTTGATTGATATGCCGGTGATAAACACGCTCTTAGTTTTGATTGTTATGCCAGTGATAAGCAGGCTCTTAGTTTTGATTGTTATGGCAGTGATAAGTGCGCTCTTAGTTTTGATTGTTACGCCGGTGATAAGCACGCTCTTAGTTTTGATTGTTATGCCAGTGATAAGTGCGCTCTTAGTTTTGATTGTTACGCCGGTGATAAGCACGCTTTTAGTTTTGATTGTTATGCCAGTGATAAGCACGCTCTTAGTTTTGATTGTTATGCCAGTGATAATAAGTGCGCTCTTAGTTTTGATTGTTACGCCAGTGATAAGAACGCTCTTAGTTTTGATTAATATGCCGGTGATAAACACGCTCTTAGTTTTGATTGTTATGCCAGTGATAAGCAGGCTCTTAGTTTTGATTGTTATGCCAGTGATAAGTGCGCTCTTAGTTTTGATTGTTACGCCAGTGATAAGCACGCTCTTAGGTTTGATTGTTATGCCAGTGATAAGCGCGCTCTTAGGTTTGATTGTTATGCCAGTGATAAGCACGCTCTTAGTTTTGATTGTTATGCCAGTGATAAGCGCGCTCTTAGGTTTGATTGTTATGCCAGTGATAAGCGCGCTCTTAGTTTTGATTGTTATGCCAGTGATAAGCGCGCTCTTAGGTTTGATTGTTACGCCGGTGATAAGCACGCTTTTCGTTGTGATTGTTATGCCAGTGATAAGCGCGCTCTTACTTTTGATTGTTATGCCAGTGATAAGCACGCTCTTAGGTTTGATTGTTATGCCAGTGATAAGCGCGCTCTTAGCTTTGATTGTTATGCCAGGGATAAGCACTCTTTTAAGTTCTATTGTTATGCCAGAGATAAGCCCGCTCTTAGTTTTGATTGTTATGCCAGTGATAACGGCGCTCTTAGCTTTGATTGTTATGCCAGTGATAAGGGCGCTCTTAGCTTTGATTGTTATGCCAGTAATAAGCACTCTTTTAGGTTTGATTGTTATGCCAGAGATAAGTCCGCTCTTAGTTTTGATTGTTATGCCAGTGATAAGCGCGCTCTTAGCTTTGATTGTTATGCCAGCCAGATAAGCGCGCTCTTAGGTTTGATTGTTATGCCAGTGATAAGCGCGCTTTTAGTTTTGATTGTTATGCCAGTGATAAGTCCGCTCTTAGGTTTTGATTGTTATGCCAGTGATAAGCAGCTCTTAGGTTTGATTGTTATGCCAGTGATAAGCACGCTTTAGGTTTTGATTGTTATGCCAGTGATAAGCGCGCTCTTAGGTTTTGATTGTTATGCCAGTGATAAGCGCGCTTAGGTTTGATTGTTATGCCAGTGATAAGCGCGCTCTTAGGTTTGATTGTTATGCCAGTGATAAGCGCGCTCTTAGGTTTGATTGTTATGCCAGTGATAATAAGCGCGCTCTTAGGTTTTATGCCATTGTTATGCCATTGTTATGATAAAGCGCGCTCTTAGGTTTTGATTGTTATGCCAGTGATAAGCGCGCTCTTAGGTTTGATTGTTATGCCAGTGATAAGCGCGCTCTTAGGTTTGATTGTTATGCCAGTGATAAGCGCGCTCTTAGGTTTGATTGTTATGCCAGTGATAAGCGCGCTCTTAGGTTTGATTGTTATGCCAGTGATAAGCGCGCTCTTAGCTTTGATTGTTATGCCAGTGATAAGCGCGCTCTTAGGTTTGATTGTTATGCCAGTGATAAGCGCGCTCTTAGGTTTGATTGTTATGCCAGTGATAAGCGCGCTCTTAGGTTTGATTGTTATGCCAGTGATAAGCATTTAGGTTTGATTGTTTTGATTGTTAGTGATAAGCGCGCTCTTAGGTTTGATTGTTATTAAGCCCAGTGATAAGTGATAAGCGCGCTCTTAGGTTTGATTGTTATGCCAGTGATAAGCGCGCTCTTAGGTTTGATTGTTATGCCAGTGATAAGCGCGCTCTTAGGTTTGATTGTTATGCCAGTGATAAGCGCGCTCTTAGGTTTGATTGTTATGCCAGTGATAAGCGCGCTCTTAGGTTTGATTGTTATGCCAGTGATAAGCGCGCTCTTAGGTTTGATTGTTATGCCAGTGATAAGCGCGCTCTTAGGTTTGATTGTTATGCCAGTGATAAGCACGCTCTTAGGTTTGATTGTTATGCCAGTGATAAGCACGCTCTTAGGTTTGATTGTTATGCCAGTGATAAGCGCGCTCTTAGGTTTGATTGTTATGCCAGTGATAAGCGCGCTCTTAGGTTTGATTGTTATGCCAGTGATAAGCACGCTCTTAGGTTTGATTGTTATGCCAGTGATAAGCGCGCTCTTAGTTTTGATTGTTATGCCAGTGATAAGCGCGCTCTTAGGTTTGATTGTTATGCCAGTGATAAGCACGCTCTTAGGTTTGATTGTTATGCCAGTGATAAGCGCGCTCTTAGGTTTGATTGTTATGCCAGTGATAAGCGCGCTCTTAGGTTTGATTGTTATGCCAGTGATAAGCACGCTCTTAGGTTTGATTGTTATGCCAGTGATAAGGGCGCTCTTAGCTTTGATTGTTATGCCAGTGATAAGGGCGCTCTTAGCTTTGATTGTTATGCCAGTAATAAGCACTCTTTTAGGTTTGATTGTTATGCCAGAGATAAGTCCGCTCTTAGTTTTGATTGTTATGCCAGTGATAAGCGCGCTCTTAGGTTTGATTGTTACGCCAGTGATAAGCGCGCTCTTAGGTTTGATTGTTATGCCAGTGATAAGGGCGCTCTTAGGTTTGATTGTTATGCCAGTGATAAGTGCGCTCTTAGGTTTGATTGTTATGCCAGTGATAAGTGCGCTCTTAGGTTTGATTGTTATGCCAGTGATAAGGGCGCTCTTAGGTTTGATTGTTATGCCAGTGATAAGGGCGCTCTTAAGTTTGATTGTTATGCCAGTGATAAGTGCGCTCTTAGGATTGATTGTTATGCCAGTGATAAGTGCGCTCTTAGGTTTGATTGTTATGCCAGTGATAAGGGCGCTCTTAGGATTGATTGTTACGCCAGTGATAAGGGCGCTCTTAGGATTGATTGTTATGCCAGTGATAAGTGCGCTCTTAGGTTTGATTGTTATGCCAGTGATAAGTGCGCTCTTAGGATTGATTGTTATGCCAGTGATAAGGGCGCTCTTAGGATTGATTGTTATGCCAGTGATAAGCGCGCTCTTAAGTTTGATTGTTATGCCAGTGATAAGTGATAAGTGCGCTCTTAGGATTTTGATTGTTATGCCAGTGATTTAGGTTTGATTGTTAGCCAGTGATAAGACCGCTCTTAGGTTTGATTGTTATGCCAGTGATAAGCACGCTCCTAGCTTTGATTCTTATGCCAGTGATAAGCACGCTGTTAGGTTTGATTCTTATGCCAGTGATAAGCGCGCTCTTAGGTTTGATTGTTATGCCAGTGATAAGCACGCTCTTAGGATTGATTGTTATGCCAGTGATAAGGGCGCTCTTAGGTTTGATTGTTATGCCAGTGATAAGTGCGCTCTTAGGATTGATTGTTACGCCAGTGATAAGTGCGCTCTTAGGATTGATTGTTATGCCAGTGATAAGCACGCTCTTAGGATTGATTGTTATGCCAGTGATAAGGGCGCTCTTAGGATTGATTGTTATGCCAGTGATAAGTGCGCTCTTAAGTTTGATTGTTATGCCAGTGATAAGTGCGCTCTTAGGTTTGATTGTTATGCCAGTGATAAGCGCGCTCTTAGGATTGATTGTTATGCCAGTGATAAGGGCGCTCTTAGGTTTGATTGTTATGCCAGTGATAAGCGCGCTCTTAGGTTTGATTGTTACGCCAGTGATAAGCGCGCTCTTAGGTTTGATTGTTATGCCAGTGATAAGCGCGCTCTTAGCTTTGATTGTTATTGCAGTGATAAGCGCGCTCTTAGGTTTTGATTGTTATGCCAGTGAAAGCGGTTTGATTGTTATGCCAGTGATAAGTCGCCCTTAGGTTTGATTGATTGTTATGCCAGTGATAAGCACGCTCTTAGGTTTGATTGTTATGCCAGTGATAAGCACGCTCTTAGGTTTGATTGTTATGCCAGTGATAAGCGCGCTCTTAGCTTTGATTGTTATGCCAGTGATAAGCGCTCGCTCTTAGGATTTGATTGTTATGCCAGTGATAAGCACGCTTTAGGTTTGATTGTTATGCCAGTGAAAGCGCTCTTAGGTTTGATTGTTATGCCAGAGAAAAGACCGCTCTTAGTTTTGATTGTTATGCGAGTGATAAGACACGCTCTTGGGTTTGATTGTTATGCCAGTGATCAGCACGCTCTTAGGTTTGATTGTTACGCCAGTGATAAGCGCGCTTTTAGGTTTGATTGTTACGCTAGTGACAAGCACGCGCTTAGGTTTGATCGTTATGCCAGAGATTAGCCTGCTCTTAGGTTTGATTGCTACGCCAGTGATAAACGCGCTCTTAGCTTTGATTGTTATGCCAGTGATAAGCGCGCTCTTTGCTTTGATTGTTATGCCAATGATAAGCACGCTCTTAGGTTTGATTGTTATGCCAGTGATAAGTGCGCTCTTAGCTTTGATTGTTACTCCAGGGTTAAGCCCGCTCTTAGGTTTGATTGTTACGCCAGTGATAAGCGCGCTCTTAGGTTTGATTGTTATGCCAGTGATAAGCGCGCTCTTAGGTTTGATTGTTATGCCAGTGATAAGCGCGCTCTTAGGTTTGATTGTTATGCCAGTGATAAGCGCGCTCTTAGGTTTGATTGTTATGCCAGTGATAAGCGCGCTCTTAGGTTTGATTGTTACGCCAGTGATAAGCGCGCTCTTAGCTTTGATTGTTATGCCAGTGATAAGCGCGCTCTTAGCTTTGATTGTTATGCCAGTGATAAGCGCGCTCTTAGGTTTGATTGTTATGCCAGTGATAAGCGCGCTCTTAGGTTTGATTGTTATGCCAGTGATAAGCGCGCTCTTAGCTTTGATTGTTATGCCAGTGATAAGCGCGCTCTTAGGTTTGATTGTTATGCCAGTGATAAGCGCGCTCTTAGGTTTGATTGTTATGCCAGTGATAAGCGCGCTCTTAGGTTTGATTGTTATGATGATAAGTCTTAGGTTTGATTGTTATGCCAGTGATAAGCGCGCTCTTAGGTTTGATTGTTATGCCAGTGATAAGCACGCTCTTAGGTTTGATTGTTATGCCAGTGATAAGCGCGCTCTTAGGTTTGATTGTTATGCCAGTGATAAGCACGCTCTTAGGTTTGATTGTTATGCCAGTGATAAGCGCGCTCTTAGGTTTGATTGTTATGCCAGTGATAAGCGCGCTCTTAGGTTTGATTGTTATGCCAGTGATAAGCGCGCTCTTAGGTTTGATTGTTATGCCAGTGATAAGCACGCTCTTAGGTTTGATTGTTATGCCAGTGATAAGCGCGCTCTTAGGTTTGATTGTTATGCCAGTGATAAGCGCGCTCTTAGCTTTGATTGTTATGCCAGTGATAAGCGCGTTTTTAGGTTTGATTGTTATGCCAGGGATAAGCCCGCTCTTAGTTTTGATTGTTATGCGAGTGATAAGCACGCTCTTAGGTTTGATTGTTATGCCAGTGATAAGCACGCTCTTAGGTTTGATTGTTATGCCAGGGATAAGCCCACTCTTAGGTTTGATTGTTACGCCAGTGATAAGCGCGCTTTTAGGTTTGATTGTTACGCTAGTGATAAGCATGCTCTTAGGTTTGATTGTTATGCCAGTGATAAGCACGCTCTTAGGTTTGTTTGTTATGCCAGTGATAAGCGCGCTCTTAGGTTTGATTGTTATGCCAGTGATAAGCGCGATCTTAGGTTTGATTGTTATGCCAGTGATAAGCACGCTCTTAGGTTTGATTGTTATGCCAGTGATAAGCGCGCCCTTAGGTTTGATTGTTATGCCAGTGATAAGCACGCTCTTAGGTTTGATTGTTATGCGAGTGATAAGCACGCTCTTAGGTTTGATTGTTATGCCAGTGATAAGCGCGCTCTTAGCTTTGATTGTTATGCCAGTGATAAGCGCGCTCATAGCTTTGATTGTTATGCCAGTGATAAGCGCGTTTTTAGGTTTGATTGTTATGCCAGAGAAAAGACCGCTCTTAGTTTTGATTGTTATGCGAGTGATAAGACACGCTCTTGGGTTTGATTGTTATGCCAGTGATCAGCACGCTCTTAGGTTTGATTGTTATGCCAGGAATTAGCCCGCTCTTAGGTTTGATTGTTACGCCAGTGATAAGCGCGCTTTTAGGTTTGATTGTTACGCTAGTGACAAGCACGCGCTTAGGTTTGATTGTTATGCCAGAGATTAGCCTGCTCTTAGGTTTGATTGTTACGCCAGTGATAAACGCGCTCTTAGTTTTGATTGTTATGCCAGTGATAAGCGTGCGCTTAGTTTTGATTGTTACGCCCATGATAAGCGCGCTCTTAGGTTTGAAAAACACGATATTTTAATCTATTCGTCTAGAGTTCTGGACAGATTTTAATGATTTTCGGCAGAGGCTACTTTTCGCACGCTAGCTTAAACCGCGAAAATGTAGCCTGTGCCGACAATCATTAAAATCCGTCCAGAAATCTAGTTCACAATAGACCTGTTTACCGATACGGCGGCCATATTGAATTAATTTGATTTAAGGAGCATTATAGGATTCCCATGGGGCATGAGCACATTTCGTTTGCATTTTCGAGCGCTTTTTGGGACATTTTTTCTTTAAGTTTTTTTAGAATAAGATTCTAATGGAAAAAAAGATCCTTGTGCCGTGTTTGGATGTAATAATGATCGCCTTTTTCCCGGGAAAGATACCGTGAAAGACCATATTTCTAATACTAAACAAGAAAACGGCAATAATTATTACATCCAAACACGGCAAAATGATCTTTTTTCCCATTACAACCTTATTCTAAGAAAACTTTACGAAAAAATGTCCCGAAAAGCGCTCGAAAATACAAAGGAAATGTGCTCATGCCCCCTGGGCATCCTATAATACTCCTTAAACTGAATTAATTCAAAATGGCCGCCGTATCGGTAAAAAGGTCTATTGATCTGCCCCCAACGTCAGTGGCTTCATAGCTCAGTTGGTAGAGCATCGCACCGGTAATCGCAAGGTCACGAGTGCAAACCCCGTTGAAGTCCTGAATTTTTTTTAGGCTTCTTTACGCAATTGCATAAATTGGGTTCATTGCGACGATCATTTCTTCACTTTCATTTCATTTCCGCAGTTCATATATGATTTATTTCATATATCATTAGCAAAAAAGGTTGTGTTATATAATGGCTGATATAATCATGGGAAAAGGTTTATAACAAAACAAGGGCAAATCATGCCACAAATTACCAATTTGATAGGAAATAGATTTCCTTGGCGATTTCCTTCCATATGTGAATAATAATTATTATCCTCAAGTGGCATGCTGCCCGTGTGCATGTGATAGGAAAGCCAGAGATCTTGAATATATTATCGTGAGCGAGGGTTTTCATTGCAGTTGAAAATTGGACGGCTAGGTGTTCTTGAACTAGTGGGTTTATTTCGCCTTAGAACTAGAGCCTTTGGAGCTAAAACAAACTGCCAAGAGGTTTCTGCAGGTGCTGTATTTTTTTTCTTAACATTTTTGTCGAACATGAACGGACAAATGCAGAGTAAGTTAGATAAATAGAATATATTTAATTTCAGCACGCACGTAGCAGAAAAATGGTTGTATTGAAGCGCTTACTGTGTTCGCCGTAGTTGTCTGATTACTCAATTTCTTCCAACAATGCTTTGGGTAAGAACAACGTTTCAGATGAGAGGTAGTTTGTCAGCTCTCTTCCGCCATTTGTGCGTTTACGTTCACAAATGTGTTGGCCTATCAGTTTAACATTAAATTTGACCAACATTTTGTGGAGCGATTGCCTTCAAACTTGCAGATATAAAACTAGAGAGGTCTGAGGCTTATTTGCTGAAGTTAGGGAAAAATATGCCAAGGAATTTCGAATCTGTTTCCATAAATGAGGTTTTAAATAAATGCCGTTATCTAAAAAATGTTTCATCCTACAAAAAAATAAATGACATTTTCTTAAAGTTCCATCATTATTTATTAAGGATGCGAAAAATAATAGAAATCGGTTGACTCGTTCATTCTAAAAAACGCGGATCAAAAACATACCCTACACGCATATAAACAGGTTCGGGCCACCTTAAAGAAAAGAAAAAAAAAGCGCGCTTGCGATTGTTGTAACAATCAAACCATAAAATATAGCCTGATAGTCACTTATGTAAATAGAGCGCACTATTCCAGATAATTGCATTGCGGCACCTTACCTAGGATGTAGAAGTACTTGCCATATGCTGGAAGTATTTTGTGTGTAATGATACATATACAGCTGAGCACGGATAAACTGAGGAGGGAGGGACCTGTTGAAAGGAACTTTACCCATGAGCTGTAATACCTCTTGTTTTCCTAACAACAACTTATGGATGAAACTTAGAAACCAAGGATTTTCAGTGTAGGATTCCAAAGCAGCGAACCATAATTGCCAGTCCAAGCGAGGCTGATGAGGCGCTGAAATAGAACATAAATAAACCAAACTTTGTAATTATAGATTCATAGAAATACTCAATCAGGATTCCACAGAAATACTCAAAACGAGGCTCAAACGTCATAAATTAACCATTGACACACCCAACAGAAGCGCGGGAAATATCTAACAGTAAGTGGCACAAGAAAGTGTTGACCAGTGCGTGAAAGTATGTAACCACGCCAGGAGCAGGTCAATACGAGGATTGGAGGAAGCAGATGGATGCGACGCATACGTTGTACGATAAATATCGAGGGATCGAAGAACATGAACTAGTTACCACACAGAAGGAAATGGGTAACTAGTATTCATCACAGGAAACGTCATATTGTAATTAGAGTCTTAGATAACTAAAGACATGGCGCCAGTGCAAAGCACGAGAAATTATAAAAGGGCAAAAAGCATTGTAACTTATGTCAAGATATTTAGACTCGGAAAAACCATATCACTAGCGTGAAATTTAGGAAACAGATAAAAAGAACGTCAAACATAGAAAAAACTGGAAACCTTCATTATCACTAAGCGTGAGAAAACATAATTCCATTCATTTTCATTCTCCGCCTTGCTATTGACCACTCCTGAAAATACCACAACATAACATAATGGTCTTTGTTGGTCACTCCAAAATTTTGCATAAGCATTGTCTTCTGTTTCTCTTGGGAGTTAAAATGGCCCCAAGAGAAACTGAAAACAATGCTTATACAAAATTTTGGGGTGACAAACAAAGAGCATTATGGTATGTTATGGTATTTTCTGGAGTGGTCAATTAACCTTCGTTGATGTCTAAAAGCTCTGGATTATGGTTGTTTTAGTTTACGTTGATCCACATGACAGCAAAGCTTGCTTATGAAAGTAAACGTCTTGTAGTAATACTCACCAACAAAGGGTGGTGGCTGATAAATATTCCCAGGCTTATAAAGAAAGTTGTATTCCTGCCACATAAAATAAAATGACTTAGAACGGTAAATTGCTTATATTAACTTGGACCGAAAAGTTCTTCTCTTGTCACTTTCTGTCTTAAAGGAACTATGTATGTCACGATATTACCGTTTTAGGATAATTTTGTACTCAAGTCATTACCTAGTAACTTAACCCATACACAAAATGCCCGTGTAGAGTTATAAAGTAGATACCAAACAAATTTCATAAGGGGGCGAGGGGGCAGTAACTGCAATAATTTTCCGGTTAGTTTTGCAGGCATTTTCACGTTGCAATCCATTTCCGTCCTTGCCATCCTTTGCAGAAGACGACAGGAAACAGTTTCAATGGCAAGTCTTAAATAACAAAATTATAACATTATTTTGCAAATTAAACTGATGCGAGACAGGTTTTTAAAAAAGATTGCAAGTAACGTGACATAACCCCTTTAACTTTGTGGTAACTCAACGCGTTTTTTCATTCAGGACGTTTCTCTTCCTATCTGACTCAGTACTGTACGGCGGTGATTTTATAGTGTGATGTATTACGTAGCCTGATAAAACAGCCGACATTTCACGACACCACCACTGGTTTCCACGTGAAATAACGTCTGAGAAACGAGCGCAGAAATTCCATACTGATGACGCGTCGTTTCCCAGATTTAGGTAGTTCTTCTGATTGGTTAGAAACACTACTCAGATCTGGGTTGTGGCGCGTCATCAGTATGGAGTTTTTGCCCTCTTTGCTCAGACCTTAGGGTTAGGAGAAACAGTGGTGGCGTTGCGAAATGCTGGCTGTTTTATCAGGCTATGTACTTCGCCAAATGCAATAATGTCCCCTGGCCTGTATCTTACCTCCCAGGGTCCCTCCATTGAATTGCTTCCTATGATTATAATTTCCGGTCGCCCACCAACACCAGTCATACTAAAACAGTAATCACACATATTTACCAATAAATTTGCAACTGCGCATGCCTAGAATTTAGTGCCTATTCACTGTTGGGAATCGTTTGCCCTCATTGCTGAAACATCGTTGAAACATAGTTAAATCATAAAAAGAGATTAACTCGTTGGTCGTTCAATTAACTAAGACACTGTGACCTTTTTGAGTGTCCCTCCTGCTGCTGTTTATGGATCTAAACGATGGGTAGGACAGCAGTTCTCTGAATTCTCTTGATTTCTTGCGTCAGTCTTACCTCTAAGGTAGATAAAGAGAGCCTCCGAATAAGCTTGTTGGGACTTGTCTGCTTGGAGGAGGAGTGGGGGTAAGGGAAAAAGGGAGAGTGGAATGAGACGAGAAGGAAAGGGACTTCCTTTCCTTTCACATTTCGCTCTTTTATTCCCCTTTCCATTCCCTTTTTTGCGTCTGCTACACAGGCAGGATGGGACCGCTGGATACCTAGTAGGCTTAAATGTAATCTAAGTACACACCTTCTGAACAGTCCGTATGCATTCGTGAGCTCTAAGTAGGCAGTATCGCCATACAGATTAACAAACAGCTTAGGAAGGCTCCGCTGAACAACACGGTCGACCGCTGTAAAGGAGTACTGCATTTGCAATAAGAAAATGTTTCACAGTAAGCGCCTTAAATACATCAAATCTCAATATAATGTTATTAACTCATGAAACTGTTGAATGTGGTCACTGTAGTTGAGGTTTTAAAAACAAAGGATTTTTCACGCAGTCAATAAACAAAGAAGGAAGTTTTACCATTTATTACCACACTGTACGAATCAGTCTTTTTCTGGATAAACATAGAGGGAAAGTTGAACTGCAAGGTCTTTTTAAATGTACGAAGTAGAAAGCTTGAGGTATCTGCAAAAGCTAAGCATTTAGTTACATATCTACTCTCATTGGTCAAATTGTCTATCGATTGTTGTCCACTTTTGCGTCCAAAATCCACGTTTTAAACGACTCTTTATTTCTCGTAATCAGTTTTGATCAGAAACAATGCAGCATAGCCCAAAATAATCTCTGATATAGCAAGAATATGACGAAACATGAAGCTAAGCAGGTATTTAGTTGTTATACCCTTACTTACCAAACTAACAGCAAACATCAACAAAGCGACGATGGAGAAACCCAGCCCTTGAGACAGCTGGCACAACTTTGATCGTGTACAACATTGCTCCAACAAACACCTACAAAACAGCAATCACTTAATAACAAGCGAAAATAGAAAAGAGAGGGAAAAACTTTTTACAAAAGTTTAAAACAAAACACGAAGGAAAACCTGAAACATTGTTCTTTGCATTGTAATGTAAAGCGCATTAGATCATATACCCATGTATTTTGCGCTATATAAATATTAAAGTTATGTAATGTTGTTATGTTATTAAATGGTCACACTTTTTGTTTACTGATATGAATCGCGCCGACAACCAGAAAACGAAAGCAGTTATAGCGATTAAATTTTCTTCCACTTTTCAGACTTTGTGGCTTAAATTTCAGGTGATGATCGCATCAATGTTTGTCAACCTCAGCGTTTCAGGATTATTCCCCGTTTAGGCGTCCCTCCATTCTAGGCTGCGGGCAAGCTCTCCATGCATTTGGGGGAATGTGAGAATTTACGCTTGTGCCGCCCCTTGCGGCTTCGCCGCTCGCTTCCGCGTTCTCTCGCGGCTCGTTTGGCTCGCCATAATTGATGCATAATTTATAAGCTTGCTCGCAGGCTACCTCCATTCAGGAATCAGCCGCACTAATAAGTGTGACGGGCTTCGGAAACTCCGCACCAAAATGAGATGGGATTTACCTGGTTAATGCACCAAGTATTTCAACCATAAGAGACAGAAAACCCATCCATATTGCAAACTGAGTGGCAAGTTGAACTGCGTTTAGCAGTTGTTCAGGAGAAAATGCTGTGGAAAAAAAAGGCATGATAAACAGCAGATGAGAGACGTGTCGTCTGAAGGTTGTCCTGTAGCGAAAACAGTTCAATATCCCTCCAGTTGCTTTGTTAGCATTAAGGTATGGGTAGCCCCTCCCTGTCGAGAAAACGATGGAGGAGTAGCGTGGGGTGCTTATAAGTCAGCAGAACAGGAGGGGCTGGGTGGGAGGGGCGACCTTCTCTCCAGCTTGTATTAACTAACGTGGTTTTATATAATATAATGCTAATCACGTCATCACGAGGGATCATGAATATTCAATGGGTTTGAGTAGCAGCAAGAACGATGAACACACTTGGGTAAACAAGAGAGGAGTGTGTTAAATCTCATCGTTTTTTACCTTTCATTAGAAGATAGTTTGGCACGCAGATACCTCTTCTAAGACAACTATTCATTCAGTTGGTCGCTTACCACAAACAAACACAAAATAATATTTAACCTTCAAAAACCAGGCAACTCTTTTGAGGAGTTCATTAGATAACACCTCGTAATGGTATCTTCTGCACAAAAGCACCACATTAATTTTGTAAAGTGGAGCATAAGGCCTCTCCAAGGACAAAACTTCCGCTCTTACACGACTTTTTAAACTCCTTCAACAAGAGGGGCAATTTTTCAGGCGAAGGCCTTTTGACTCCAGTTTCGCCTCAGTACCTTTGTTAAATTCTACTAACAGAACCTTTCTTTCACTTGCTCGATTTGGCGTACTCAAGAAAGACTCTGCATCCATGCGTCAAGTAAGATCGTTATGCATGTGCTGCTTGTTGCTGGGAAATAGTTTCCAACCCGGGCCTAACAGCCATGCGCTTGGTGCAGCGCATTGAGTTATAACTACCCGTGGTCATCAGTAAATGGATGCTTGCTCAGGGAAACTCGTTTGACGAGAGAGAAAATAAGATTGACTAGTCTAGAAGTTTGGGCTGTGGCGACTTCAAAGGCCTGACTCGATTCAGGCACAGCCTCCTTTTCTCCTGCTCGCTCAAGAATATAAAAGAAAGCTGTAGTCTCCTGTTACTTTGTAGACAGTTAATACCTGTTTCACAATGAATTGTTCCCTCTTTGGTCAACTTGATATTAAACCACTTGACGGTGCAGACAATCATAGTTATCAGCACGGTAAGGGTTGATAACAGGATGCCTGCCAGCTTGATCCTGTAGACAGTTCGGTTGTGTAGAAATTCTTTGGCTTGTGCGAATTTGGAATTTTCAATATGCGTGCTCATCCAGTTCAGCACGTGTTCCATCAACTGCGACGTTGTTGAAACGTCCTCTGCCAAAATGAACAGAAAGAAAGTTTAGTATATCGCTGATTCTTGTCAGCGAACATAATACGATTATGATTATGAGGCTCTTTTGCTAAATGATCAGAATGTTAGCAAGCAATGATCAACTGTTCCGTTCCGTGAACTGAAAACGAGGTTAGGGTTTACACAGTAGGTAGCGATCGCTTGACTATAATACCTGAGGTCACTGGTTCGAGGCTCGGAACCTGGCCAATACTCAGGGTCTTAAAATAACTTAGGAATGAAGGTACTGCCTCTGCCCTGCAAAAAGCTAGACCTTCGCGTGGCTCGGATGATGACGTAAATCGCGTCTTCATTGGGAGATGCAAAAACGGTGTGCTCAGTTAGTACAAAACTTCTTGCTTTTGAGCTGGCAGCCTTTTTTGTAACAAAAATTCTTACCTTGCCTTTCGCTCTCTGGTGGGCAGGATGCTTTTTGTATCTGTTTGTCAGTTCTCTCTTCCTCAATACCTACCCGTAATTCATAATACATAATACTATTCTTAGTTTTTTAGCCATAGGCAGCTGCTACGAGCCGTAGCTCTTTTGATCTTTCGATCAAACTAAGAGGCCTGCAAATTGTCAGCCTTTTAATATTTTTAGCGAGGGTTGAAGGGTCGTAATGACAAGAATGTAGTCCAAGTGATGGCTGCTAGTGAAAAATTTCAACGGCCAAAAAGAGCAGAAAATTCACGTTTAAAACAAACCGAGTTATTTTTAAGGCGCAGGTATTTACAAAAGCCGGCTAGTCTGTTTAATGAGCCTCCTTAGACCTAAAATTATGGGATTGGTTAGCATATTAAGTAAGAATAAAAGAAAAAAAGCCCACTTGCCAAAACATTCAGCCTATAGTGTAAATTGGTGAGGAGATATAAGCACCGGCTTGTTCTGATGACTCCGTACAAATAATCAGGCTGATTTTTAGTATTGGGAACATTTTTTTCCTCGTTTTTCCATAGTTTCACAAATTTATTTTTGCGACATCACCGCCTCTCCAGCCTCGTTCCCGGGGAACCCTGGGGACGAGATTGTATTTCAACAAGAGGTGACAATCACATTTTAAAACCAGTCGTATTCGAAACAAATACGTGTTGCGGGCTTCGAGCGTGAGAAAATATGTGATCAATTTGGATTTGCTTTTGATAAGTTGAGAAAATGGCGCGAATTTTTCAACCAATTACAAAACCGAAGCGTACAGTAAGGCTCGTGTTGAACCGTTTTTGATGCCGGCGCTAATATACAGGAAAACTCCGAAATGACTACCTGGCTACCCTGCGAAAGTTTAGCGAGATACCATTTTTTTGGAAAAAATCATACCCCTGCTAGAGCACGGTATTTGCTTTAACTAGCCCATTTTATCGTTGTGTGCTTGATAACCTAAGTACCCTGCGGGCCTTTGAGTGGAAAAGAAGAGGCAGGGGTTAACTTTCACGCTCGACACGACATTACGGGTAACATGAACCTATGAGGAAGATTATCAAATAGACCACTTACGCTGACATCTTTTTATGCAGCAAGAACAAACGCATCTTTTACAGAGAAAGCATTGTATGCGGGACAGGATACACTTGTCGTCCAGTAATGACACGCACAAAACGATGGTCAGTAGATTGAAGAAATTGTAGTTACCAGTGAGAAGAATTAACAGCTGAAGAAATATCTGCAACAATTTCAATACTTACAACTATTGGAAGTGTGCAATTAAATTTGTAAGATTACGTTGACAAGAAACTCTGTTGTAAGCAACGTTGCAAACTAACTCAATATGGATAAAAAACGACACTGGAATAAAAGCTTTTTCTCTCAAGGGATTTAACTTAAAATAGACTAATAGAGAGGCGAGATCACAAATCAGAGAGCTGGGAACAGGCTCCGCATGCGTATTGGGGAAAAAGGCAAAAAAACCAAAGGGGGTTAAACAGTGAAAGAAAGGCCCTTAGCTACAAAATACAGTGACGATAGCCTCCACACAGTTTGATTTTTAAATTCGATCTTTAAGTTTAATAATTGAGTTGTCAATTCTTTACGCATAAAAGATTTCTTATATAGTAGATAGTGAAGCACGACTCTCTGGAGGACATGAATAATAACATAGGGTGCTTAAATAGAGCTCGATTGTTTGTTTGTTTTTATTCTTCTGTGACTATCACTGGTATCCCTTTAACTTCACTCACCTGGAAGATCACATCTAACTAACTTTTAACATCCAAAAATCACGGAAAGGGGAAAGATAAGAGATGATGCAGAAAAATTTGATTTTTAGCTTTTCTTACCTCGCTACAGTAGGCAAATACACGGAGAATCCTTACGGGAGAAAACGCCAGGAAAGGGATTCCGATCTCTATGACATATCTGCAGAACGAAAGAACGAAAGGCAACAAAACGTCTTCTTTAATCGTTGTAAGTTACTTATATCCCGAGGAGTGAACTCTGCTACGAGAATAATAAAGACTGTCCAAACTGGCCAGGTGTCCATAAAATACTCACAAAAATGGAGCCAAAGAGGACTACAAACGTCACTACCAAAATTAGATTTTTTTTTTTTACCAAACATCGAGAAAATTTGCAAGCCTAAAAGAAATCCTATTGTCAAAAGAGAACTGAGAATTTTGTAAGGAGACTACGTCTTCAAGAAAGTGTCGTAGTTATAGTGTTCGTTTCCTTGCAGCAGAGTTCAGTGTTGGACGTTATAATTTTCTGACGAAGAAACGTGAAATCAGGGCATGAAGACCGTTTATTAACGGTTAGTTAAAACTGTTACGTTGTTTTTTCGGTTAAAAACGCGCATGACCAGTCAGTTGGTGAAACCCTATCGAGAATAAAAATCATTAAATTAGCTGAAGTTAAAGCCGATAGTTACTTTTTTAATCCTTTTTCCTCGAGCGCGGCCAAAATGAGGCCGAAGGCTGAATGGGCTTTGACTCAGAGGCCACTAGTGAGGAATAATTTTTAGTAAAAAACATATCGAGAATAAAAACCTAGTTAGTAGCTCAACCAAAAAGCCGGAACGCTAGCATTGTTAATAGACTAACCAATCAGAACGCATTTTACTAATAGACCACTTATTTTACTTCCCTTATTCTTCCAACACTGCTGGTGGCTTTGCATGTTTATTCCCATCAAGATCATTGTCAGCTAATCCTATATCAAAATGTATAGTTAACAGGGGCGATAAAATCCAAATGGTCCCTACCATGGGTAGGACTGAGCTTTCACAACGGCGAAGGCGTTTGTTTGAAGGCGAATTTTGCCAGAGGTAAACACTTAGGGACTGCACCCAAGATTGAGGAAAAAAATTCTTTGAGGTGTTTTCACGTCCACCAACGTCATTAATTGGGAAATTAGTATGTGTAATCAAATGTTGACGAGTGAAATTAGGGAGTAATTTCACGCGCGTTTAGGCGAGGGAAATTATTAGGATTTGGACAAAACGCGCGTGAAATTACTCCCTAATTTCACTGGTCAACATTTGATTACACATACTAATAGTCGTGCAGCGACTACAACAAAATTTGTAACAAAAAGTGTGCTAGAAGCGCAATTATGGGATTTGTCGTTTTACTTGTAACAACTTTTGTCTTTTTACGTTTCATAATCGTCGCGTCGCTGCATAAGTTCCCAAAAATTGGTTTCGAACGAGGTCTCGCTCAACGTACATCTAGTCACACTTCGCTTAAATAACCGGCAGGAAATGTTTTTCGTAGTGCATGATCTTCATATACCGCACGTTTAACACTAAGCACAGTGGCAACAGTAACTTTCTATTTACCATTTCGTTTTCCTACTTACGTGAAAACAACGCTGAGTCGGTGAAAGGAAGAGGGAAGCTTCTGAAAATACCAGGCCACAGGTGTAGGGATACACTGAAACAGCAATGATAACAAATAACAAATAAAGCTGAACCGACAAGTCGCCTCTTAATGGTGGTTGGCCGCTCAATAGAGGTTCCTAATAAATAAGCATAATATTCAACAGAAACATTTATTTTGAAACAAATACGCGACGGGAGGACATGGCTGGTCCACAATCAGACACCTTCTATATTGGGCTGCAATTTTCTTCATCATACTTCTATAATGACCGCAAAGAGGTTCAACAATAAAAGAGATTCATGCCTGCAGTCTGCTTTTGTTTCTGAAATGTATCTTAATTCAACTGAATCGGAAAGAAGAATTGCTCTTTTATATTAATTTGCAATTCTTCTTCATTGTTAGCTTTACCATACGTGGCTAATTCTTTCATGCGTTGACTTTTTTTACGCATTCAGATAGAAAAAAGATCATGAACTCTCTGTGACAGAAAAGGGAACCTTCTTTTTGATCACTTGACGTTGTTGTGATACCTACAAGGCGACAAGGCGACAAGGCGACGTGGAAACGGCGGCAAATGGTACAGAAATTTCCCGGAAAAGTTTCCAGAAATTCTGGAAATTGTTCAATTTCAGAAATGCGAACCATTCAACCGAAAATTCTAGATTTTCTGGAAGCAAAGTTGAATGGAGAGAAAACTTGCGGGAAAATTTTTTCGAAATTTTGGGCATACCTCGCAAGGCTTCCCTGTTTTTGGAAATTTTAAAAAATGCTGTTGCATTCGCGCCGACATTCGCGCCTGAAAGTTGCCGAAAATTCGAACCGGACGTTTCGGTTGAATGGAAACCACTCGTAGAAACGAAAATGAAAAACCCCAGCCTAGTCCCCGGGCGTTTTTGGATCGGTCATTCCTGGACTCTACCATGAGCTGTGACGTCACCGAGAGATACTCGCCGAGAACTTAAGCCGATAACGGGTTCTCTCGCCCGCTCTCTCCCACACTTCGCGCGGACAAAGGATCAAGAGAGAACGCCTAAGGACAAGGCTGGAAAAAACCACTGCTTGTTCGCGCGCTTTCGCAGCTTCGCCGCTTATTTGCGCGCCCGCCAGACAAAACCACCAGCTACGCAGGCACTCGACTGGCCTTGTACTGTACACATCAATAGTAGTTCCGCAACTTTCTTTTCCATCTCACCTGTGATTCATAATGCCAGTTAAGAGCAGTAAGATTCCACCAAGTTTTATCCATGTAGGTTAATTTGACAACACCGGAGGCAAACATGAGTCGGAACAACAGCCACTTCACAAGCCATAACATTATACTGTCATGGTGTCTAGAAATATTTCTGCGAAAATAAAAATAAAAACAAATATTAGCATTAAACAAATCAAAATCACTTGGAATTTTCGTGGAAGAGTCCTTTGCCTTGCGCTCAGTCTGTTACAGTGTAGTAGTGACGTAGTGGTCAGTGTTTGTTTGTTTGTTTTTTTTATCGTTATTTATTTATTTATTTCCTATTATGTACCTGACACGCCTTATCTTCAGGAAGAAGCATTTTCCTAATTTCCAGGGAGTGAAAGAAATATTCCACGGAGCAATCAGGAATGCTAGAAAACCACTTTCCCATAATAGTGCATCCCTGATGTAACACAAAAAATGAAATAACAACTTGAAGATGATTAATCTGGCAAACAATTAGCCTGCAAGGTATAACCTGTGTAGCAGGCGCTTGGGAGTAACATGCGATAAAAAACGGGGCACGCGAAGGACGTGGGCGTTTCTCCGTTGCGCGCCCCGTCTTTTATCGCATAATTACTTCCAAGCACCTAATACACAGGTTATAACTTGCAGGCTTCTTTCCTGTGCCCATTACCGGTACTTTCAAGGTCCTTCTTCGCAAGCTACCTGCATACCTGCATGGCAGGTACGTGAAAAAAAAACGGCGTAAATTTAAAGAGCAAGGACACTAACCGCGAGAGAGAAGAATGTACGTCAGGTTAATCTTCTAAAGCGACAAGATTTTTTTCCTCGGAAGGCTGGAATTAAGCCAACGGAAATTTTCCACTCTAGGGAGCGGAAAAAAACTTAAAGGCCTTGCAGGAAGACTATCCTTCTCTCCTCATGCGTGTCGTACTCCCTTGTGTGCATCGCGTCTTATATTTCTTACGCACCTTCCGTACCATCAGTACTATACTATAAATGAATTCCAACATGACCATCATGTAAATTCGCTTCAACTTACCACTGATAGCGTATGAAAATCTGGCCAACCTGACAAAAATATAGAAGTGAATTATATGAAAATAACATCTTTAAAAGTTCTACAGAGGATGCACTAAATAACTCCAAAATCTTGCTCACCAGTGATTTATATAAAATTACAAAACAGCTTACTTGTAACTACTGTTATGTTTCGTATAATTTCAAATACTTATTGAAAGTTCCCGTATGAATTAAACTGTAGCTGATTCTTCAAACGTGCCTTATTATGTCAGCTTTCATAGGGAAACTGATAAACAATAATTATTGTCACATGTTTAAAAACTATAGGCAGATCTACTTGCACTGTAAGTATAATCACAAATTAAGATTAATGACACAAAGTTGAAATGAGGAAAGACTGGGCAACCTTATTGGAAACTAATGGGCCTTTGAAAAAACATCTGTCAAATGTAGAATTTTATTCCAACAGTGGTTATGAAGTTTTTAGATTTCTCATTATTTCAATATCACTCTAGCTGAACTCACCGGCAACATAGAGTAGTAAAGAAACCACAGCGCCAGAAAACCCAAGCAGTCTCTACACCTCTGTGACACAAGGTAAACAAGAGACAGTACAATACCCAGTATGCAGAGGAATTCCATTCCAGTGGGTGTGTCTAGTCCTAGATATGGTGTCACCCATAAAAGGGTGGGTGTCTTCTGGAATAGTGAAGTAAAAGATGTGTCCAGAACTAAAAGAGCATAATAAGAGTCAACAGATTTTGTTGGTATTACTGTATCTCTAATTGTGCAAATAGGACTGCAGACTGGATGGAGCAAAATGGTAAAGGTCAATTAAATGTGAACATATTAGTGCCTGTACCTGGCTGTACATGGTGGCAACAGTAGAGTGTTAAAAGGTTTCAGCCGTGTCTGCCTTTTTATTGTTGTTGTTGTTTTTTTTTTGATGTCATTTTGTAAGTTGACAATAGGCCATCTGCACGATGATGTCATTTTACTTCTATGACCAGACTCCTTTTCGTTTTTCCTTCCATGCTATTTTAAATTTGGTAATCCCAGTGAGGATTAAATGACAAAAGCCCTAATTTCCACGAGAAAGCAAAACCCTGAAGGATTCTGGTCATAGTAGTAAAATGATACCATCATGCAAATGGCTTATTATTATCAAGTATGAAATATAGAGATTACACTGGGTTCAATATTTTAAATTTTCATTTAATTTAAGGGTTAATGTATCAAAGGATAGAGGCTAGCCTATGAGGAAGTAGTTGAACATGAGGTTACTAGACGAATCAAAGTGGAAATCTTGTCCTCTAAACCACTTAGCCATCCTTCATTCTGAATTTATTGACTGATGGCTTTGAAACAAAGGTTACCATAGTGATGTAAGGCACCTATTCTACGTTGTAGTATTGTTTCTTTTTTGTGAGAGATGAGGAATAAAGCTATAACTTGAGATCAGGCTCTATTTTCAATTCACTTAGTACATGTGAATGTTGTGGTTCAGTTTTATACTGGGTTTACATTTTTAAATTTTATTTCCCTTTGTTTTAAACTCATCATACATTACCATTCTCATAAACAAAGGAAAATAAAATTTAAACCAAGGATAAAATTGAACCACAACCTAGATAAAATCCTGGTGACCATGTAACAGAGAAAGTAAAAAAAAAATTGTGCCTGGTATCAGGCTAATAATTAAAAGCTGCTTTGAATTTTATGGATAACTAGATACAGAATTCTTATCCTGCCAATACAACAATGCTATCAAATCCATCATAGCATGAGGCTGTAATTTCAGCTGTGTATTATAGCTCCATGCTCATGTTATATAAGTCTTACTGTGGCAACTGTTGCAAGACTTCATGCAGTTCTCAATCATCCATCCATAGTTTTTCTTGCATTCTCCAGCTGCTGCCCACTGACCACAAGAGGAACTCTTATCTGTACATATTGACACTGCAATATTAAACAGGTACACTGTAGGTACAGGTGATGTAAAGTATAGCAATTTACATTACCAGAAAGGTATTGATAATTTGTTGAATGGAGTACAATAGAGTATATATACACCGGTGGTACATTGCACATAGTCAAACAAACAGTCACTCAAAAGTAAGTTATTACAGCGTAATCACATCTTGTTTCCTATAACATTACTATGCAATGGAAATTGCATCATATGCTTCACAAATTCCATCTCTTTTCCCCATCATATGATAATCATCATCATCACCATCATCATCATCATCATCATCATCATCATCATCATCAATATCATCATCTGTCACCTTAATAAGCATTGTCCATTACACCCAGTGACAAATGTTGTTAAAAAGAGATCCGATATTTATCAATTTCCATTCCTGTCTCAATGGAATATCTGATCTGCTTGAAAAGTCAGGTTAGTCTTGAAAGAAACAATAGAAGGCACTGCACAAGAAAGTAAGGTATGAAAAAGTGTGTTGGTCAGAATTATGCTCACATAAACAACGCAAGGTGAACTTACAGTCATGCAATATGTAACTAGCAGGAAGAATTCCATCATGACCATAAAGACCTGTAACAATAAGGTAAACATCTGTAGTAGCTACACTGTAAACATTTAATGTCAAAATCCAGTAAAAGATCCTGAATGACTTGGAACAGTAATTTTTACTCGAATGTTCTTAACTGAAACTGGTCAAGTGAAGTTTTAAATTTTATAGATTTTTTATTTTAGGTAAAAACATCTGAACGTTATATTTAATCGCTGCTGTTGTTATCGTTTGATTAGCGATCGCTCAGTTACAAACTCGCGGACCGTCACTAGCATGCTACATCTACATACACTGTACCCTCTCATCAGTGGGTACAAAACAGTTATAAGTCATCATATCAAAAACATTGGAAGGGTCCACGTACCTGGTATTTGTACGTATAGCGAGGTGAAAGCAAATAAATAAATTGCTGCCATGCACCAAAGGAAACCCTGACGAACCACCTGTTGAGGCGCTCGACATTTTGCGACTGCTGTCATCTTATGAACATTACACAAAATTTCCTGGGGCAAAAGTATGTGATTTTAGACTTAAAACGTTTCTTTGCGTATTGATGGCATCTTTATCTGCATTGTAGATTCAAAACAATTGAAAACTTTCCTGTTTTCATTTCGAATTGGGCGCCAAACATCCTTTTAGATCGAAATTCGAGAACAAAGAAAATATTTTGTCCTGTTTATGGATTAGCTTACATGAAGGGACTGGTGAAGATCACCTCCGTGGACTCGGGGGAAATCCAAATATGGCAGCTTACGGAAGGCAAGCTCTCGTGCAAAATACATTTTTATGGTTTATTGCCGCGATTTATCTCTTCGCTTTCTCGTCTTTTTACATACAGATACCAGGTAAATACCGCAATTTCACTTCATTTCCTTGCATGATAAACCTAAATTGGGGAATCGAGAAACGTAATTTATACGGCAATTTATACCATAACTTCCCCGTTCTACACAATGCAGGTCTCTATGGCAGAAATGGTGTTCTTCCTGCCAAGCTTGCCCTGAGAGAAGGTGAGATTTAACTTCATGGAAGCGTTTTCTTTTGTTTACATATATCAACTAGAACTCATTTAAAATATAGACGAACTGTTGGAGAACAACTTATGCACCTATCAATGTAAACCCCGTGGCGGAGGGGGCGCGGGCAATCGGTGGGGATTTGACAAATTTTCAAATTTTTTGATCAAATTCCCCAGGGTGGGAAACGATAGGTCAATCAAAAGTGTCAGAAAAGCTCCTACCCCAGGGGAAAAATCTAAACAAACAATACTATAATACTGTATAAAACGAATTAAAAGAACATTTCAAAAGTACGTCCTTACTAAACGTAAGCTCCGTTAAATTACTCGCTGTAATTAGGTATTTTCTCTCTCCACTAGCATCTCTTAATTTGAACAACAAAATCACTCTAGGAAGATTGACCGTGCTATTATAATATTAATGAAACGTAAAATGCTTTATAACATCTGCTCAACATGTCGGAACAGGTCGTATCAGTGACCCGTAAAAAAATCCTCTGACTTTCATGGTGGAATTCCATTTCAATCGAGTTTTACAATCAGATGGGAACTTGAAGATAAAAACTTTCTCAAAATAGACATTATCTGTTTAGATGACAGTTTAAAGTATCGGATTATGGCGATTAAAACAAATGAAAACTTCACACCTTTCTCCAACAGCGTGACTTTCAGAAAGCCTCGAGGGACGGACTTGGTAACCACTTCTGAATTGATACCAGGCTTCTGTCGGTCAAAGTCAAATGTCCCGACCCCGGGGTCGCTTCGCACGATCAAAAGCCCGACAGGGGGATAGTCTCGGGCATCAAATCCCCGCCCTTTGCCCGCACTCCCCCCTCACCGGATATACATTAATAGGTGCATTACGTGCTGTGATTCATTATTTTGTTCCCCACAGATATCAGTTATTCATTGCACTTGGTCAGGAATCGTGGGATGTACAGGAAAACTTTTGCTACAAAATTTCATTTTTAAAACTCACCTTATTGGTCTTAAATCTCTCTCTATGAGCAATGTTAAAGTATTTTGGTGAATACTCACCGAAGTTAAGTACGGGGATGGTCCACCTCGAAACCCAAGAAGAAAAAATGTGTGGTATTAGTGAGACTTTTCTGGTAAACTTGTTAAGATGTGCTGTTTAGAAATGGTTACAGGCCTGTGGATGATAGGTAATGCAATAATATGCATTTTGTAAATTCAGAGAGTTCATCTATAGAAGAAAACTTCTGGCGTAAGCCTACCCTCCTGTGGCTCACCCCCAAGCTTGGATTGGACACTCAGACTGGCATGGAGCTTCTTTGTTTACTGGGAATGCTTCTTTCAATGCTGGCCATGTCATTCAGATCCTGGAGAGATTTCATTACATTTTTTGTCCTTTGGTTTCTTTATTATTCTTTATATCAGGTAAAAACTCACTCATTTAAGAATCTCTAGGTACCAGATGATTGCATGTAGTATACCAGCTAGTCTGTATTTGTAACACAAGTTCCAATTTTTTTATTACTAAAATTATAGACTTTATTCATACAATATACATATTATTGTATATTATACAATTATTTACTTTAACCATTAATTTATCCATCTCTCTATATAAACAAACAAACAAAGATCTCTCTAGGAACATCCTTGATATAGAAGAGAATTTGTTTAATAATTCAAGACAATCTGATTGTTAATTTTGTAAGATTTTTTGAGATAATCATTCAACCAACAACATCAACTTTAGCTAGAAGGGGTATTCAAATTCTAAACTTCATTTCACATATATTAAAAACTATAATACTTATACAGTAGCCTTATATCTCAATGTATGACCAGCGTATATTGAGAAGAATGTCGCACATATTGAATGTGAAACCTAATTTCATTTTCAGGTGGGACAAACATTCATTTATTTCCAATGGTAAGATCATACTCAGTAACCGTTGATTACATATCAACTATTGCAAACATTGCTTTTCTTATTCCAATGTAGCCTGCAGTGCTGGTGTTTTCTTTGGGCACGCAAATGTTTTTGCTTGTGAAAGCGCCATGTTGAAACCGAAGAGAGGAGGAAATGGGGCGAGTCAAAGAGAGCGGGGAGGGGGCGGGGAGAGAGAAGAGAAAACACCTGCCGGAAAACACTGTGAAAATGAGAAACACCCCCTAATTAGTTGTGCGTGACTGCTCTTCCAGAAGTGAGTAGCCAACAATAACGAAACAACAAAACAGTCGTTCCAGTCCAAAGACTCGCATTGTCTTAAGAAAAACAAGCTGGAGTTTATCATTGTTTTTATCATCACGGAGTCACAATGCAATTCTCCACAGCTGATGAAGCTTCAGTTTAAGCTGCAATTCATTCTTCTAAATTCATATTTTTAAATCACTGTCAGTGAGAGTTTAACATCCTGCAAACAAATTAAAAAACTAATGCAATGGGCCCAGCGTGATACAACATTGCAGGAAAACAACACATTCTCGGACTAGAAAGAAAATCGCTTACTAGTAAGTTTTTCAGATCCTGAGGCACTTTGGACAAAAATAAAGAACCTGACAGCCTTATTCAGCTACAAAAAAGAGCTTTATGCTTCAAAAGAGGTCATAGAAAACGCTGTTGCATCAATCATGAAGACCAGAAATTCAAAAACCACAGAAAATCAACAAGCGTGTCATGACCTCTCAGTGTGAAACAAGCGGCTAAAATCACATTTGCTCAGTTAAAACATAGAACCCTCTAGAGCATAATCTGCTCGCCAGAAAAAAAAAAGGTACTGGAACAAGCAGCATTTTGGCATGAGGTAAAAGTGGTGTAGGTTTTATAGCACTGCAAGCAAATCTTCTCCTGATGACCAGTGTAGAAATCGCTTTGACTTTCTCATTGCGTAATACACATGACTTTCCCAGAATAAACAATATGGACTTACCGTTAATTGACAGGCATCAATCTACTCCCCTTTGCCGCACCAATCAAGAGCTCTGTTTGCCAGCGTACGGAGTTTCCCAAAAGAACAATGATATCGGGCAGGCGTATTTTTTCTCCCCTCCCCCTCCCCCCTTTCCTTATTTCATCCTCGCACCTACCCTTAGGGTTACTATTTCTACTCTCCACAATCTTTCACTGTCGTAAAATCAAAGATGGCGGCTATAACAATACAAACATGAACAAGGTTTCGCCTACCCAAAATACGCCTGCGCTGCAGGCTGATTCCAATGCTCCTGCGCAACATGTTATAAACATACATGGATTTAAACTAGAATGCTCACTTTTCACCCTAGAGAACTGGTATTGAGCTTTTCACATCCAGGCCCAAGTGAAATTTTTCTTAGAGTGCAGCGTTGTAAAACAATAGGGCCATTTATACGAGAGAAAATAAGCCACGGCTTACTATAGCTGCGGCTTACATAAGACACAAAAAGAACCATTTAAAAGAGTACGGCTTATATTAGACACAAACTGCTTGTAAAAATGGTTCACAGCTTAGCTCGCGGCCAGATCAGTCCAATGATAACGTAGTTTGTTTTGGTTCCTTGTTTTGGGGTAATTGGATTTGCATCTCGCAACAATGGCTCGGGCGAGCAAAAAAGCTAAATGACTGGCTTTGGCCCATAAAAAACGCTGTTTTTTCACTATCTTTTTCATTTTAAACTGTTTCTTCGGTCAAGATTGGTGTTGGGTTCCCAGGTAATTAATTGGTCAAAGAAAATTGGGAGACTTATGCGAAAACCCCAACAAAAGATTCAACAGCGATCCGTTTCGTGGTTTCGTCGAGATGTCCCCGCAATCTCAAGCTCGCTGCTTATGAGCAGTATTTGTTTTTCTTCTGGGGCACTCCACACATTTCTTTTTTTACGTGAATCTCTATCTGCCATTTTCCACTTTGTAGAATGTAAACAAAACTCATTTTCCTGCCACTGCAATGTGCGTCTCTCGGCCGTGAAGGTCTGGGATATAATTGAAAACAGAGCATGCCCAGCAGTTGTTCACGGCTTCAGCAAGCCGTGGACAACATTTGAGTGCATTTATACGAACACTTTCACGTCCAAGGTAAGCCACGGCTTGGATAAGCCCATCCCAAAACCCCTTGGCCAGGATAAGCCTCGGCTTGAGCTGGCCTTGGGTTGCATAAGCCATGAACATAGATTTTTGACCATTTATACGGGGTGTTTGCGTCTTATGTGAGCCGCGGCTATAGTAAGCCGCTGCTATAGTTGCTGCTATAGTTTTTTTTCTTCTTTTTTTCAGGGATATCCTTCTTATGGAGACAGGATTTTTAACAATTCTTGTTTCTCCTCTGAATTTGTTTAAAGCAAGAACTACTCACAGGTATACAATTCATGCAAGCATCCCTCCAATAGTTTATGTTGGACCAAACCCAACTTGGACTTTGAGGGGGTGGGAAGGGAAACAGTGCTATAGGGGAAAAGCTTGTGGATCAATCAACAAAGCTTTTTCCTGTATATTTTGTAGTCTGAGAGCAAAGC